ATCAGTAATTAATACATAAATCTTAACATCTATATACTTATGTATAACTCTATAAATTTTATCTAATATGAAGAAAATTATGTAAACCAGACAAATATATATTGTAAAGATAATGTTAATATATATTCTATTATTACGACCCGTGGTCCAGGCGTAAGCTATATGTACGGTTCCAACATCTGCTGATCTTTTTGGTCTATGTAGTACAGTGGCACCTCCCACCACAGGTCATTACAATGTTGTGGTGGCCAGTGCGGTGGTCCTCAGGACATAGAGTGAAGTGGGTCTCAGGTCCTCATGCAACTATAAGGATACCACCCCCCTTAAAATATTTCAGACAGATAGCAATAATACAACAACTTCTCTTCTCTTTTCGATTTCAAACCACCTGCCAGGTCTAAGACTGGTTTTTCACCCTGCTCTTGTGCCCATGTGGCCGTCGTTTCCTGTCGTTGTTAACCCAGGCACGCTTAGGTTGCACAAGCCCTTGCCCATTGCTGGGACGTCTGTTCTTTTTCGGTGCAACGGCGGCTTAGTTCTGGTTCCTTCGATTTGTGATTTCTCTGAGTAGTCTTTTGCGCTCTTTTTCCAGTACTCGTGGATCCTGTATCAAAAGATAATCATCCATAAAGGCATCGAGCTTCCTTGCCCTTGGCAGCACTGGATGCTCATATAGCCGAGATAGAGGCACTATATCTTGCAGTTTTTCATTTAATGGAATAGGAGGTAGGGCTTGGTATAAGTCAGGTGCAGCCATGAATATTGATATTCGACTCCTCAAAGGATACCGGATAGCATCCAAAACTTCCTAATCAGCTTTTCATCATGAACCGCAGACGATGCAATACAAACACCAAATACAAAGGCACAAAAATCAGTGGCCGAGACACTAATGGTATAAGTTCAGGTCAAAGATATGATAAACCATAGAAGTCGAGAATGATTCTCATCCGTATTGACTATGCTGATATTAGGCTCAAGATGAGATATTCAAGAAGTGATCAGCTATAAAATCACAAAGATAATTAGGGCATATCTGAAATTGGGCTACCTTTAGTTTCGTATTTACATTTAGGAAACATGGCGAATTTCTTGCCTTAAAATCATTTGATGAACACTAATTTAATTGCCGGCAGTCGCAAACTGTTTGTCTAAAGAATAATTGTAAAGCTTGATTCTTTCTATAAACTAAGTCAAAGCACCACCCTTCCGATCACTTCATCTGCACCCGTTTACATACAAATAATCTACTTTTTTAAAAGTATATAACACCACGAAAACAAATATATTATATATATAATTAATCGAATACTATATATAATTACTTGGATTTAATTTAAAAATTAGTTTTATGCTTTCTTTTAGCTAAAATTAAATATTAAAATATGAAGGTCTGACTATTTGGACCCTGCTTAAGTCAGAAGAACGACCGCAACCAAAGGCTAACAAGGCACAGAAACAAGGTGAAAAGCCTGCCTTAGATCTATCCAAGTAGCTCAAAATTAAAAGAAGAAGAGAAGATATGTGTTATTTTCATGTATCTAAGGAAAAAGAAAACGGCGTGTGGTCCTCTTCTACAGGGCGACGCCCCGGCACACACCTGCATCCTTGGTCTCGAGGCATACCGCCCTGGCCACCACAGTAGCACTGTTGCTTATGCATTGAGGAGAATGAATTGCCTGCATCTGCTAATCAGGAGATTACTCCATAGCTCTGAGCATCGTTTCGAATCGTGATGTTTCGTATTGCAGAACTATTCGCACGTCTTCGATTTCTGCTGAATCCTGTATGACTCCGTATGCGATGAGAATTGACTTCTGAGATAGAACAAGGCGGTATTCAAACGAGTTCCGTGCACTGGCTATACCGTCCCGCTGGATCGCATGTTGAAACTCTTGACAGTTTCGAGAATAGTGCTGAATTGGCGCTCGTGAGTCAATGGGAATCTAGATCCGCTCAATGCTATTTTGAAAAAATACTTCATTCGCTCAACAATGTCTGTGGCGCCGTGTGATTTCAAAGCTGATCGAGTTCTCTAGCGTGACATTTGAGCTCGTAGTGCAATTTGCGTCTGAGCACTTGAGCTCTTGATTTTATAGCACTCAAGGTTCTCCCAGGAATCTTGTTCGAATCATTAATCTCTTGATACGTCCAATCCTGTCTCTGTAGCCCTAGAAGAGCTTTATCCTCTTTCTGCGTCCAAGACTTTTCTCTTGGCGTCGCTTGTGGGGAATACCATTCACAATCAAATGCAAAATGTTGCACCTGGTGCGTAGCGAAGTTGCAAATTTGAAGACGAATGTAGTGGCTTTGGCCACCTGTAAGATTCAGATCAACGTAAATATATCTGGAGGGAAATCCGGGCTGGGCACGAGGGTCAGCAAATGATAAAAGCCCACAAATAGGTTTATCATCGTTGAAGCTATATTGTCTCGCCTGAAGAGCACTTCGGCTATAAATGCTCCATATTGTGGCGTAACCGTCCAGCTCAGTCTTGGCAAATAGACTAGATTTGGTGGCATCGACAGTTAGAGTAATGCTATTAGCTAAAGGGGAGCTGTAAGGGTCAAAGACCCCACATATAAGAGGCGCCATGGTGGCGTTCCGGCTCGGAACGAAATTTTGACTAGAACAAGCTATCTGATTGCAATGAGTTCAATGCTGCAATTTATAGACTTCGGATTGCTGACGAGCATTCGCATTTGTATTGCTTAAAAATGGCTTTCTCTCCTATGGCAGAAAGTGATTCCAAAATGTAGCTTATGACGAATGAATGTTTCTCCAATTTAGGCAAAGCTTTAATTTGAACAGATTTTTGGTATTATAGTAATAATCTCCTATTATCCTATTATTGATAGACAATAGAACTGGCAACATAAACAAAGAGTTGATCAACATGATAGATTTCTCAAAAATAGCCATAGGACTTGATCAGAATTCCTTTCTACCCAGTTCTCCGTCTCTCCGTAGTGGGTGCCAAAAATAGTGTACAGCTAAAAATAGTGTATAATATTTGTAACCTTTTCCCCCTCCCTGACACGACCAACAGGACTAACACGACCAACATACCAAAAACCCAGAAATAGTTGCTCTTATAAAGAATTGCATGAAGTATTAAAGGTGAGGTGCTCAGATGTGCTAGCACGCCTCCAAAAATAATCGCAGATGCATATGTTTTATTGCCGGCATATAGTAGGCTTAATCTGTCTCCCCCGTTATCGTGTCTTTTTTTAGTTGCATCCATTGAAAGAATGGATGCAGTAGCTTCGCAAGCTCTTTCGTGAAGGCCGCCATTCCTGTTCTCAAATTTTGCAACATATGCAGCATCTCATTCATTTCCTCGGAAACTGCCCCTGTGATGTCAGAAATATGTTGTGTATTGGCTTCGATTCTAGCCAGACATTCATCAATCTTTGTTATACGAGATCTCAAGTCATCGAAAGATCTAAAACGGGTATTGTTAGCAAGAGGATTTGGTTTAAAAGCTAGGTGTGAAAATACACTGTGTTATCAGGTTTTGTCAGTGGCAAAGCCTGTTCTTGCAATTCCAAGAATTGATTATCTTATATATCGCTTGTATTGAAAGAGCCAGTAAATCCAAAGTCAATATTGGCCCAATCCTCATTATATATAGAAAAGTTAGTTTGTGAAGATTCCATTATAGAGATGAATCAATATTGTTTGAGATAGAATATCTAAGAAGGAAAAAGCGAAACCATATATCGACTGAAGGTTTGGTGCTTTTTAAAAAATTAAGAACAGGGATCTTTATAGTAAAATTATTTTCTCTGTAGATATCGTTGGAACAGATATCATGGCCTTTTTTAATAAGGCGGCAGAGCAAAAGAAGACAGACTTCATCTGTGTGATTAGAAGTATCCTGATCAACAGTACCAACAGTACCAACAGTACCAACCAACAGTACGAACAGCGATGCCGTCGCTAAAATAGCAGCCTTGTATTTGCCGAAAAAGCCGTTTGAATCTCCTATTGTGTAATGAGCACTGCAGTTATCCGAGGATTCCTTAAGTACTGATTGGGTTTATGCTAACAAGAGCGGTGTCAAAGTGTAAGTCCTTGAATACGGAAACATACAAGTCCTGATGGGAGTGCAAGTAGCTCACTGCCTTTGGGGCTATTCAAGTGTGTGATCAAATGAATACTTAGGTTGACGACTGAAGAGCTATGTACTGAATCTATCTAATGGTAATGAACGTGTGGTTATATATCCAGCTCTTCAGTGTGGCTCACCTTGGCTCACTACTGATCCAGGTGATCCTGGATCATTGGATCACCTAATGATCCAATGATCCATCCCTGTTGTAACCCTAACCCTGGGTTATGTAATCAATGCTTAGTCAGAACGTTGGGTTCTTGACACCTGGTCCTTGTTTGCGTGTGACCTGTTTCGTGACCTGCATGTTGGATGGGTCATAACATATTGCAATCTCGAAGCCTCGCCGATCTGCCTTAACGAACTTCATATTGTTTATTTCAAGCTTAGGATATCTGTTCATCTATCGCTGTACGAAATAAAGATCACTAGCTCTTTCCGACACATTGTACGCATACTATAGCAATAGCAATGATCATTGGATGAAGAGAAGAAAAAAAACCAGTATTAAGCCGCATTACATATCTGATAAGGCCCTCGTCCTCCTAAGGCTACCCCCGACTGTCTTGACTGTTAATTTTGGCCGACTAATTAGCATGTGATTGGAAAAGCAGCGAGACAGGGATAAGGTACAGGGATACGAAAATTTTCAAGCAGATCGTACCGGAAAACGGAAGGTGCTAGTTACCTGTGGGCGCTAGCTGTCCTGGCCCACTCCTTCGAAGGAGTGGGAAGAGCGGAAATGATTTGACCACCTTTATTATTAAGGGATATCTACTATAGTTGTACACACCGCCCTGTGTACAGAGTACTACTATTTAAACAGCAGTCCTTCTTTTCGTTGGCGCATAAAATCCTGGATACATTACATTATCTAGGCTCAGGCAATATTGAAGATTACATACATTCAATATGTTCAAACAGCTCCCTCCTGAACTTCGTCTTGCCATTCTACTTCATCTGGAAATATTTGACCGGCTTTGTTTTTACTTAACTTGCCGCGACAACTGGGATCTTCATCTAATGGATCAAAATTTTGACGAGCATTTTTTTAAGATAAAATGCAAAAGACACGAACTCTGGAAGAGAACCATGGATCTTACCTGGAAACCATATTGCACAGACCCCTATATGGATTTTCTTCGACGCTTAGAGAGGGATGCCCATGGCAGCTCTTACATCTGTTCCGGTTGCTTCGCATTGCATTCTCATCAGCATTCGACATTCGAGGAAGTTTGTTCTCACGCAACAAACGGATTCGGCGAATTTCTCACTAGACAAGTTGGAGACAAGCCTTTCGAGAAGAAGAAAGTTACATGCGCCTTGACGGGATCATCTCCCTGGGAGAGGAAACCAATCGTTATCAAACATCAATCCCTCAATCCCTCGGTCTTATTGAAAGTCGATTTCCATTGCAACTACAATTCCGATGAAATTCAACCTGCATCAGTTGTCCACCGGATCGTCCGAATGCTCTTGCCACCGTCTGTCGTGGCATATATTACGAATGCGGAACGCTCTGTCACCTTTCCAATGATGAACTGCGCACCGTTTCGATTATGCTCTCACTTCGACTTTCAACGCTTCACCAGATCATCCACAATACCTGAGTCAGATTCTCCTAATTTAGAACCTATACTTGATGGCTGTGGCTATTTCAGCTTTGTTCGGTCAAAAGAGATATTGAGAACAGGACTATATACATGCGATAGGTGTGGTTCTGCTTTTTCTTTCACATTTCATAATCTGGGATCTGAAATCGGTATTGAATTCGTCTTTGATGCTTGGAATTCCGGTATAAGTTGGGACGCTAGACACGGTGATGGCGGCTGGAACTTTTTGCCATGGGACTCCTGGAATTCCGAAGGTAGTGATGAAGAACCTGCCCAGCTTGAGCTATATGGAGCTGACGAATTGCCATCACATGATATGGAATTTATTTATGCAAGCGCTCTGGTTATTCCTGGCAGTAGTGCGAGACATGATAGTTCGCTTGCTCAAGCGATGAAGAATCAATAAGGTTTCGGTTGGGGTGAGCCTTTTTAGGACCAACATCGAGTTCTTTCTCAGCTCTTATCCTTTATACTCTTTCCATAGACCCATGAACCCAGGATCTGTTCATGAGTTTGCCATTGAAGCAACCTGTAGAGGGAGGATCGATCTTATATCCGCCGAATGCACGCCTCGTTGTGGCTTTATTGTTACGATAATCCGATCAATTTGTGGATAACTGGGACCTATATGATGAACCCAAACAGAATTGAATACTAACTTTGAATCAAAGACATTGTCCTCTCAAGTATGAATCAATTTCCTACCCATTCTTCCCCGATTTCTTATTTCCTCCCAGGGGCCTTGTACACACAAGCACTTACCAGTTGGTGTAGGTCTCACGCACCTCGCTGTTTGGCGGCCATCCTGTATCGAACGCTACGTTTCCGCTCATACTTCTTTGTGAAAGAATCCGGACAAAGTCGATGCCAGAGCGCTAAGCATCTTTCTTGCTGTCAATCATATTGCATATGCACCTTGCAAATTACATTAATGATGTCCATTTGGGGAAGTAATTACCCATTCGACAGGCAGATGATACAAGCACTCCAGACCTTCCTCGACTGCGTATGGTGGCTTTTTTCAAGAGTATTACGACGAAGCCTATTTAATTATGCGGACATATTGTTCTCTTTGAAACGGTTAGCCAGGAACAGGGGTAGGCGCTCTATACAAATATATTACTATATTGAGATGCGGAATGCCGTGCAGTTTTTAGGATAAAATTGAAGTTTGAATTTCAATCCATATATTCTAAAGTCCTTGAGTAAAAGGTTTTGATCGTTTCTGCACTGGAGTGCTGAGAGATATATCTGATGACTCTAGAGCTCGATAGTCCTTAATTCGCAAAACTGTTTATTGAAACTATATATGTGCGACTCCGACCGATAGCTATATAGGCCACAGCCATTTCCAGTCAGCTGGGAGTGGTCACTCCTTTTAGCTGTCGCATACTTTTACATTTTGTCTGGCTCGCTGGGTCGTAATCGTGAGGCGGCGTAGCCAGCCGATCCTTGTAGAAAGCGAGACGAGGATGTTGTCAATCTCCTCGTACCTAGCAGACTCAGTTGCTGATTTGTGGTCGGCATTGTCGGCGGGATCGGAGGATATCGTGAGATCCTCCAGGATGGTGATCACTTGGTGTGCATATTGGCAATCTAATTCATCTATTCTCAAAAGAAAATCACCTTCTCACATTGACGCAGACTATCCTCCATGATTTCTAAAATTTCTTGTATCAGCCTCCTCGCATCCGGCTGGCCGAGCAGCTCGTCGTCTAGCGCGGTGAATGCATCCATCTCCGTCGCCCATATATTGAACCACCCCGCCAGATCGCGCACCCGAACCCACTGCGTGCCGCCATCTTGGTAGCTACGCAGGGAGTTGTAGGATGTCATCAACAAGTCGCGGCATTTTTTAGCACGCGCAGCGATAGTATTAGTGAGGTCGGAGTTGCTGCTGGGCGTGATGCCCTCGCTGGAGGGGAAGACATAGTCCTGCTCAAATATTTGAACTATGAGGAAAGGCGTGTGGAAACATTTCTCTCCCGGTCACACTATCATGCTCATTCTAGTAATATTAATCAAGTCTGCCAAAATTTCCTTTTTGAAGATAATAGCAGTCACGAGTATCTTATGATATAACTCTCGACTGATTCAAATAAGACATGAAACCTGTCCTCTCTTCCTGTCAGTTGTAGTTGTAGGAACTTTGTGGAATGCCGCGACGGCAGTATAGTAGTAAGCCCAAGACGTATCTCCCCCTTTGGCGGCATTTTGAAGCTGGAGGATTGGGGAGGGTTCCGGCCTGGTTATCGAAGTATTCATTATGTGGAACTGACTTGATTGGTTTCTGAAATATACTTTATCTGAGTATCTAAGCGGGATACGGGTGTTGAGTCCTCGCTCAGAATCGCATCTTCCTCTCCCCAGAGACCCCCTGCTCAACCCCAACCTCATCCTCCGTACCCTCCTCAGTAGTCAATTCTTCCCCTTCTCTAGTGAATCGATAGTATTGGTAATCAATTAGGATGTCCTAGAAAGACCTCATCGGGACTCTTCGTGATATGAGGTAACAAAAGGGTCGCTAGTATCATTAGCGATTATGTATTAAGTAAGACCTGGAACTACTGACGATTGTGATGCTCTGGGGGCTTATATTTCTGAAGGAGCATTCTCTGAAGTCCATTTTTGGCTTCTATGATCTTGACAGGCTTAAAAAGAAAAGTCCACAAATTCCTTTTGCAAACATGACATGATCGTGGGGCAACGGTCTTGAGATGAATGCAGTCATGACAGAAAACATGTCCAGCGGTCCATACAGTTCAGTCCTAGCAGTTCAGTTAGCAGTCTTAGTTGGCAAACGAGAGATACTGGTACAAGCGAGCAACCGTTTTTTCTTAGCAGTTGACTGTAGTCAAACTAGTCGTCGCCCGGCCTTCCCTTGATCCTCATACTAAGCCCAATTAGGAGGGTTCACGATGCCCGACTTGGTGTTTTGGGATCTCTCACGCCAGGCTCGATGTAATGCTGGCCCACCCACACATGTTTTTACTGGCTACCAGGTTCCTCCGAGCCCGTATTTCCCTTGCTTGGCGTACCCAGGGCCTTGTCGTGTTGCTTCCTCAACCGCTTCTTCTCCCCTCCGCACCTATAACGGCTGCTGAAATGCCTCTCCATATCGACCGTCCTCCTCTCCTCTCCTCTCAGCAGCCCTTCACACCCTTGCCGCCATCGCAATGAACTCCCTGGTTCAGACGCCAGGACCGTGAGACCGTACCTCGCGGGAGACTAAAAAGGCGGCAACAAGAGAGTCCGGCAGCTTTGCCAGAGGAAAAGCTATCAGAGAGCTGTGGGCTCGAGGGTATAGACTTTCTCCGGATCTCTGTATAATATACCCTTAGAATTCTCTTGCGATATAAAGATAAGTTGCAAGAATGCCCGATATACTCTGCTGCCACTATTTTATATCCCTACTATTATCTGATCCAGATATAGCTGACCCGGTTGAAGGGGATTTCAAAGGTTTCTATCAGAATTACTAGGAAGCATAGCCTACAGCCTTACTATAGAGACCAGCATTAGCAGTACCAATAATACTATTATGGTTTATATTGTTCGAGGCTAAACCTAAGCCCAAGCTACAATAAACAAAGCTTGAAATAGAGAGATATGTCGAGCTTAAGGATAAGGAGAAGCCAGAGAGCCGATAGTATCGACCCTCTATTATGCGACAGCTAAAAGGAGTGACTACTCCCTGCAGACTAGAAATAGCCATAGCCTATATAGCTGCATAGATAGTCGGACTTATATACTATTATCATAAGCTGCTTATAATACCCAGTTTCCTATAGTATCAAAGATAGCCTTTAATATCCTCTCTATCCCTGCAATATCTGCAGAATGCAAGTATGTCTTTAGCTAAGGGAGGCATACGATGTCCCTATAGAGCCTCTGTATGAAGGCATCTACATTGGAGATGCTCCTCTGCCTGGAGCACTGGTGGAGAGACGGCTTCTCAACGGGACCAGCGGAGGTGATCCAGGGCTGGCAAAAAAAAAAAAAAACCAAAAAAGAAAACCAAAAAAAAAACCCGAAACCAAAAAAGGCCCTGTGAGGATTCAGAAGTGGTTCTTCATCCATTTGAGAGAGGGACCTCGCGCGGGATCAGATGGTAACGAAGTCTATGGTATCTCATCATTATCAATACCGGCTAGACCACTGAAGTCGTATAGCAAGGTCAATTGAATAGATTTCTTAGCAGTCTTAGCAGTCAGTCGTCCAGCCTAGCCTACCAGTGCAGTCGTCCGCGGATATAAACAGTTAAACAGTCGAGGGGTGCTGAACTGAACTGCCTGAACTGTATGGACCGCTGCGGCCAGTGAAAGCACCTGGGTCTTTGGGAAGGTGGCTTTAGTTGATACTGTTTGTTGTCGCATTAGAAGCCGGCGTTGAACCGACAGACTTCTGCCCGGAAGGCCATTGCTCATCCTCTTGACCGAGACCACCGCGACAGGACTGCTACTCACTGCCTACGGCCAGTGAAAGCACCTGGGTCTCTGGGAAGGTGGCTTCAGTTGAAACTGTTGTTGTCGCATCAGGAGCCGGCGGTAAACCGGTCTCTGGAAAGTTTTCCATCACTCGAGAGTCAAGGCTGCTCTGCTGCTGCAAAAAAGCCTGGGTGGGTGGGGATCTTGCTAACAGTTGTTGTGCAAGGGCTTACTTTCCAGATATCGAATTCCCTTCCCTCTCATGCGTATGCTAACAAGTTCTCTCTACTAGCCTTTTCCATTTCCAATCCTCCCGCCTCTCGTCTTCCCGTCTCCAACACGCTCGTCTTCACAAATACTGCATCTTCTCGTCTTGGCATTGGCAAGACCACGATCGCACCGCACCGGCGCTTCAGGTTGTAGTCGGTATGGAAGCCAGCGCTGATCGCGCGTCTCCAATACTAATGTCCACCGACCCGCCATGCCTGAGGTATACAAAGGAGGAAGGAGCCACTACATCAAAGAGTTTTCACATGGGCTTTGACGAAACACAGTAGCCAGTACTGGGAGATACTATAGTGCCTTGGATAGGTGTGCCCTCTAGGCCTACGGTCTCCGGGCGTAATAAATCATCATCATCATCATAGAGAGCATACGACAGTTAACAGGAGTGAACAAGGGGAGCCTTTGGTATCAAGCTTAAGATGCATATGCGCAGAAAGCCCTGGCACCCCAAGCACGACGACGAAGACAGCTTTGAAGAAAAGGGCTACCAGCAGTCTGTCCACTCCATCGCCGGGAGGCAGAGAAAGAACTACTAGATATACACTTGGTACTGTATGAGCCCAGACTATATGGGCTAAGTGGCGGGAGTGGACAGCTTAGGGAGCTGTTTGGGGTGTTGTAGTGATGGGCAAGAAAATGACTGCAATCTGCTTGCGAAATGGGTTACCGATGGACTGGCGGACACCAATTCTCGCATTTACCCCAGAGCATATAATTACGGATTACTTCTTGGTGCGTCCATATCTTGTAGGTGCATAACAGTATCCTCTTGGGTATGAAAGCCTAGCTGTAGAGTTCTAGAAGATACTGTTTTTTGTGGCAGTAGACAAGAGAAGTATCTGCCGGTGCGAGAACGCCCTCAAGTGCCCACTTCAGAATATAGCAGTCCATCTCAACTGACCTTGAGTATAAGAGTCTCATCTGGGAAGAGTAATAGTTACAAGACCGCCCTCTAGATCATCCTTCAGCTCATCCAGGCATGCCTGCCTGATCTCATCCTTGAGATCCTCCCAGCTATTATCCCCGAAATCCAAGCTGCGCTCCACAGAATCCTCGACAACCTCCTCGAGCTCGTGCCAGAGGGTGATGGTGTTATCACGGACGAGAGTCCCGACATGCCGTTCACAGTCCTGTATCTCGTCTCCGATACGCCCCTCGAGCCGCTCTGTGATGCGAACCTCCATCTCTTGCATCTGCGCATCGATGCGGACAAAAGTCTGGTCTATCTGCGCCTGCCGTTGTGTGAGAAATTCACCCATCTGCGCCTTCTGCTAGGCGAGGGACCTTGCCCAGACCCCAACGACAGTTCTTGTTAGTGGCATCGTCTCCCATATCTGTGCTATTCTGCTCCCACTCCTGCTCCCGCTCGCGCTCCTGCAGCTGGCGCAGCCGCTTCTTCTCAGGGGATTTGCGAGGGTGGAGCTGGAGCAGCCATAATGACAACTAGGTATAGAACATTTGGCATTAGTATGCTTCATTCAGACAGGAAAGCTATGGAGAGAAAGAAACCCCGCCCGCAGGCGCCCACCCTCCCAGGCTTTCTGTTGTGATCAAAGTTAGCCTTAACTTTGGAAACTGGGGGCCTCGCAGCGGCGATGTGATGGGGATCGAAGCTGGCCTCCAGACGGCGGCGCCAAAAGAGAGCTGCCGACTTGGTGACCCAACGCCCAAACGCGTCAGACCCGTTGAATAGCACCGCCTGTCGAAAAACCATGTAGTCTTTTACCTGGGGGCTTCAAGACAACTTGGCGATCGACAAAACGATGCCTAGATCCTCGGCAGACTGTAGCTTGGCGAGGGGCTCCTTGCTGGGTTTTCTTTCTCTGTTGGGTACTGCGCAGTGCGATGCAGTACCTGCAGTTAGTACCTGCAGCGTCGGTCGTCGGAGACACAGCGACGGTCGGTGGTAGAGTCGGTAGTAGTGTCGGTGGTAGTGTTGTTGGTAGAATCGGTGGTAGAATCGATGGCAGTGTCGGCGATGCAGCGAGTGGAATAAGGAAGAAAGAAGGACGCGACTGCAGGAGAATGTGGTGTCAGGGTGTGAGCTGCTCCCAAGCCGCTCTGTTGGCTCTTCCATTCAAAAGGACTACTGAACCTGTCTCCCTCTTCTTTTTCCTCTGCTAGACTTGTTGTTTCTCTTTTCCTTATGTACACAAATCGACCTGGGCTGGCTAAGATAATAGTGGCCTGATGGTCACGCTGGCATCATACGAGAGCGCTGTTCCAGAGCGGAGCCCGCACCAGGGTTCTAGACCGCCACCAGGGCCGCAAAGGCCACCCATTCCCACTGTGTGCAGACAAGCCCTGACAGCTAGCGCTTCTTAAAGCTGACTCAGGCAGTCTTGATAAATCACGCTGGCATCGTACGGGTGCGCTGCTTCAGAGCGGAGCCCTCGCCAGGGTCCTGAGCTGCTGCCAGGGCCGCAGGTGCTTCCCATTTCTGATGTGCGCATACAGGCCCTGGCATATATTATCTGGAGATTAGCCTAGTTTCAACATGCTGCTGAGAAGGTTTTGCTGGGTAGTGGAGACTTTGAATGGTCGTCGTATTCCCCAAAACGCTCCAGTGCATCTCTCAGTTCGTCTCCTGTCCGTGAACCAAAATGTAGATGGTTTGTCAGAGGATGTAACCCTGCTAATGCGACTAAGTGGCCTAGGACAGGCGGCGGCGGGTTTGCTTCTGTCTTCGAAGAATGCATCTGGGCTGTCCCTGGAGTCTGTGCTATGCTGTGGTAGCCTAGAATGCGGTAAATCATATCAGGGGTGGTATAGCGGTGATGGAGAAAACTTTTGGAGAATCCCTGGTTATCGTTCAGCACCTGACTCGTATGGACCCATCTACTATTTGTAAGCTCGTCTTTCGGCCCAACCCTCGCTCTTCCGTAATTATGGGTCAACAGAGCCTGAACCCACGCGGGTACATAAAGACCAGTTAGCTGGCAGCTTGATTAACCATCACGGCACCCAGCCATGCCCCGAGTCATCACATCCTCATCCTTTCACTCCTGTCCTTGAGCTGATATCAAAGTACTGCATTGCACTTGGCGGTCCGCACGCAGACTTGCCGGTCAGCAGCGTCCATTACCAAGCTACAGGTTGGCCATTTGCGCTTCTGGGCTCTGCCCAAGAGGGTCGTCCCGATACACTGAGGAACTTTCTTGTCAGCTTAGCCACAGATCAGCCACTTGGGCTCCTGGGTTCTGGAAGAGAGAGAGGGTCGTCCCGATATACTGAGGAACTTTCTCGCTCGCTTTATGACTTTTTTCTGTTGTGCATATCGTTTTTGGAATATTAAAATATCTTAATTTTTCTATTTTTTTGCCTGCATTTTTATCTCTTTAATCTGAGCCAAGGCTGCTCTCAGCGAAGATGTCATCTGTCGCAAAAAGCCTGGGTGGGTGGGAATCCTGTATGTGCTTGTGTCCTCGGATACTTGTCTCACTCAGGGGATAATCTTTTCTTATTAGTATAACTCAGGTGATGCGTCTTTGGACTAGCAGAGTTCTTCCCAAGCTCGCGATATATAGTTAGCAGCAGTGCTGCCCAACCGCAACTTCCAGCTCCAAACATCTTTTCAAGTTCAGCCTTATGCATAGCCCGCCCATATAATTATCCTCCCTTCATATATGTTACCTTACTAACAGGTATTGGATTAATATAGCAAAGAAGCCGTCGGCTGATCTCTCGAGCTCGTCTTGTGATAGAATCAATAACCTCCGTCGAAACATCGTGGTCAAAGGGAGGGAGAGCACAATTATACTTTTTCTTGATATATTGTCAAACACTGCCTTTTTCAAAATACGCTTCTTTGTCGACCCCTATTCAATTTTCCTTTTTATACCACCCGAACACATCATGTCTATCACTCGAGTTGACCAAGTCGGCACAGATGGCGTACTCCATTGTTCCTCACCCAACCAGAAGATGTCCCGACACAGCCCATTGACCTGCCTGCAATTCTGCCTGAGCAAGCCGGTCCTGCTGGTCGGTCCAGTCGGTCACTTCTTGCCGCTGGGGAATGCTCAGACACAAGCGCTCGCCTCTCTGGAAGAACTCGCCGTCAAGACTACTCTGACCATCTCCATCCCCCCACAAGCCTTTTCCGATGAACACTTTCAGGCTATTTGCAGCGTGTCCGCTAGCACATGGAGATCCTATCCCGACCACAGCACGCTCGACAACCTCTATTGCGGACAAGGTGGCCAGATCATTACAATCACACCGTCGCCAGAGGTTCACAACGAGACTGGTTCAAGCCCTCCTTCGTACAACAAGCTAGACGAGCTTGACGAGCTTTCCTTTCCGACCAGCCCCCGGCCCAACAAGCGACGGCGAGTCGACCCAGAACCATCTTCAGATCTGGCAAGAATTCAGGAGTTTGTACAGAGTGTCTGTCAGGGCATGATTTCCCAACAGCAATCCAAATTGCGGAAGGACCTTCTTGCTGAACTAATAAAAATGGAGGAGCGAATTACGGATGCAGCCAGCCAAACCCTCAGCAAGCAGATCCAGGACCTGAAGAGCGAGATAGTGACAGAATATCAGGCTCAGTTGGAGACGCTTCAGACCGAAGTGGTAGCCGAGGTGACGCCCCAGGTGATGAGTGGGATTTGGGATGAGTTCGATGCACGTATTGATGACCAAGTGTGCGGCATCAAAATAGAGCTGGAAGACTTTGTCAAGGACGAGATGAGAGCTGTGCAAGACAGCGTTCTGGATGCCGTTCCTGAGGTTTTGTCGGATGGAATATGGCATTTTACGCCATCGGACTTATAATATATGCACCGAAATTTACATCTATAACTTTGTCACGATAGCTAGCAGGCGGGAAGAAGGCGTTGGGCGGGCAGGGCTTTATTGCTACAGACAGGCACTATCTTAGGTAGATACAGGCTGGTTGTCAAGACGTAGCTCGAAAGCTACGATGCAGAACAGACAGACGGGATTAACAGGAACAGAGTTTTATCTGGAACCAGGATCACGTGATAAACCCTAACCCTCGAGATTAGGATGACCAGGGCGGGGCCAGCAGCTGGGTTTGTGACACTCTTGACTGTCTTTATTTTCTTCCTGGATTCTTATTTTAGTCCATCCAACTCTACTGTATATTTAACAAAGCGTAGTGAAACTATATACCGAAGGAGAAGTGGCTGCAGCCATTGCTGATGTGAAAATTGGCATATCATTTAAAAGGGCTCCTCTGTCTGGAGTATTACCAAGACTACTCTTCTTCGTCGTCTATCTGGCTCACAACCATATTAAACAGCTCACGAAGCAAGCCAGAGACTTTCTAGTCACCAGGAAGCTCAATTAGGTAAGCACTACCCACAGCACTGTCAAAAGTAGATTGCGAATGTAATCCTCAAGATTAAGTTAAAGGGGGTAGTTATCGGCTACCCCGGAGATATCGACCACTGTAATGTCTGTGGTGGAAGGTGCCACTGTACGGAGTACTACATAAGTAGATCCAAAAGATCAGCAGACATTCGAACTTGTTGTTCGAATATTCCTTTCAACCGTACATATGGCTCACATACGCACCCGGCCCAGCGCAGGTTGTAACAGCCAAGCTTTTTGTGATCAAGCTTGTCGCCCAGTCTCGTTATTTTGATGTTTCGTCGCAACAAGTAGACTTTATCTCCCTCCCGTAGCATTGGTCCCTCAATCCTTTTGGTGTTCGCGTATTTCGTCATTCGTTCTCTGACGAATGCGAGTTCCTGTCTCAGTTTTCCCTAAAGTTTCTAGATTTTCTCGATCCTTTTGTTTGCAGCTTCTGCATTTGCTCCTGGCAAAGCTTCGTGGTAGGCTGTTAGGTTATAGCCTGCGGCACTAGGCTAGCCGGTATACCAAGGACAAAGCAAACCCCATAAACAAAGTAATGCTAATAATCAGAAGACTAAAGATATAGTATAGGGCTGAATACGAATCCAAAGGGACTTGGGAACGCGCTCATGAATCTCGCGAAGGATTGTGAGGGCTGCCCCCATCTTGTATGACTTCAAATCGTAGGCAGATCTAGGGAGCATCGACATTGGCGAACTTGACCGATACTGTTCCATGATAAGGGTTATTTTGGCAATTCCATTCCTTTACGAGCGGTGAATTTGCTTTGATCAGAAGACATTGATCGACTTGAAATGGGAGGAATCTCGAGTAATATTTAGAATATGAAATCAAGATATAATCACGAGGCAAATAAAAAAACACTGGATTATTAACGAGTAACACAGGATTTTGAGGAAAATAGTATAAGCAGCTAGACTAGGATAATTTCTTAATCAGCATTACTAATGATGCCAACGATGTCAATAATGCTAACAACACCAACAATGCCAACAAGACCAGCAGGAATATGACAAACTAGAGAAAGTGCAAGGCTAAAAGGAAGTTGCAGGTAAAGTACTCAGCACATAGCTTGGATTTCGCTTACTTGATTTCATTTGGGAAACAACTACAGGATATAGAGGGAGCGCAAAGTCTTTCTAAACTAACATAGATAGGGTCTGATATATCAAAGAATCTCCAGCCTTTACATGCAAATTCCAATGCTTATTATATCTCATTACATACCTTCCTAGTTTCTATAGGCTGCCATTATTCTGCGCCTGACGCCTTGGGTCCACAGCAAAAGGTTGACTAGGGCTCAAGAAAATGTTTTCAAATAAATACATACTTGGAAAACCTAGAAGTATCTAAAAACTCCTCATCTCTAGTGTCACTTTCTTCTTTTGAGGGTGTATGTGTACGAGTGCAGGCAGTCTGTGGATATAACCGTCTTTTGATATTGACAGGGAGCTAACTGTGCGGTGCATTGCAAATATATTACGAAGAATGGTTTTTCTCTATCTAGCTATATTCGAAAGGACCTGGAAGTCCTTTTTATATTAGGTGAGCTAGTATGACGGTAACATTCATGGTGGACTCCCTGGTGAATGGGTGGTGAATTCAGTGGTGGAAGCTTCATGAATTCACCACCTTAGTTACTAAAGATGATCCAATGAATTGAAGGTGTATGCCCAGGGTACATCATAAATACAACTCGGATCATTGGTAACATTGCCAACGTCCTTAAGAGCATAATATATTTATTAAGATGATTAAGACGCAGCTTATCTTCCACTGGATAAGCACGATACTCCTATTAGCTCACCTTTTCTTTTAGAAAATTTATTTATAAGACTTTTCTTTAAATTGTTTCGTTACTTTCCCTGTTTAAGATTCTTGATACCTGTGTGTTGCGCGAGCCCTGTTCCATTTAAGTGGACCCGGCTCGCTATATATATAACGCTGTAAACCCTTCTTTACCCCTTTTTCTATAGAAATCAGAGCGCTTTTTCGTCACACTGGCATATCAAAAAAGTGGAAGAAGTAAGCTGCTTCTCTTTCCGTTCTGGGCAGCATTGCTAATGGGTATGGAGATACTGCGAATATCGGGAGTGGAAAGACGATTGGAAAGACATCCTCAATACAGCAACCCGATCGATAGGGATGAGTTTTCTCCGATGGATATGCGAACACTCCAAGATCGATTCATATGGCACATTATGGCAATATTTTGGCCAGTTTAAGCAGCTGAACACCCATGTTACCTGGAAACGTATGGACATAAAAGATAGCAAGGAAATTCTCCAAGTATGTTTCCAGATGCCTATATATTGCATTTGCTAATTATTTTTAAATACCACGATACTTATTTAAGGCATCAATTTGGCCTGCGAGCGCCTAGCAGCCGTGGCAAAGATGTTGCCAACTCGAATGATTTGCTGGTTCTCCTGACTTTCAATTTTGGATTCGACACAGGCATCTTCTCTGGAGAGAAGCATCGCGTAAACTTGGCAGGGATCTATATCGGCCTTGCCTGCACAGGGGCGCGACCGGCCGAGTTTGTGGACAATGAGAGAAAGCGTGGCAAGGATCTGGAAGAGCTCTTTCCGCGAAAACCCAGGGGAGCTGCTGATGAAGACGAGAAATCCGGGTGGCTTGAAAAGCAACTCACAAGATTTACCATCGACCGTGGACGTCCAAAAGCGCTATGTTGGGAGGATATCCTGCTTATGGTCGTGCGCCATCCAGCCACCGGCGAGGATATTCTAGCGATGAGTATCAAGTTTGCACACCACAAGGGGGCAGACAACAAACCAAAGGTTATCGCGGACGGCATCAACAACAACCGTACGGCCATCATCACGATGGGCTGTGGGACGACGGTGACTTCCAAAAGAGCAACACGATCAATTAGTACCGGGTCGTCTTCGTACAGGTTTGGAGGACTCGTCAGCTTAACTATCCATACCTTCGAGCAAAACGTTGAGTGCCTACCTCGGATTGTGTCATGAAGTTGACTCGGCATGATTGTATGGATCTTCTCCCTAGCTTTTGCCTTATAATTGCTATAAATGAGCCCTCTAATTCTAACCTCTCCTCGATTGCTTTGAACCAAGGGAATATAGCAATTTCCCGTGGATTGAGGCTTGAGTGGACTGGATCTGTAGTAACAGGCTCCGTGACAGTAGGTCAGGGAAGGTAGGGTCGAGCATCGGCGGTTTGACAGCTACTATAGGTTTAATCCTGCATTCAAATTCTCCTGTCAAAGTGATGTAAAGTTTAAGTAGGAGAACTGACTGAGTTCGATCGTGTAGACTACAGTGGCTTATTTTGCCTGTCTGCTCCCATCTGCTCCGCTCCACACAGACCCGCGAGATTTCGCTTAGATATGCGGCGCCACGCTCCGACCTAACTTGGCACATTGGACTTCGTCCAGTCCAGCGGCCCGCGGGGATAGATTTTCCATCAGCGAAAAAGCATGAGGCCTGTCCCTCAAAGTGATGAGCTCGGGTTTGATCAGTCCCCGAGATCTTAGTTGCCCTGTAAATCTCCATCGGTGGATTCACGCCGTGGGCCGGGGACGAGATAGGAGAAAATGTCCGGGAGAAGGATCACTACCTGGTGGGAAGGAACCTGGGAGAGAACCTGGGTAGGGACCTAGGTGAGAACTTGAGAGGCAGGAACAGTTCTAAATGATTGGCTAGTGACAGCGCTTCTTCTGTGGCGGTTAACTAAAGCCCCAACCTCCGTGTGATAACATCTCTGCTAGAGTGGGCATTTGAGCTACGCAGAATTGGTGGGCCGCGCGAGGGAACAATAGAATCACAAGCCAGCCAGTTATGAGAGATGAAAATTGGGCCGCGGTACCCTCTGTGGAAACACCTACAAGAGAATTCAACAGACTACCACCTCTCAGCCACCTTAGCCAGGGACTTGGCCTGGAGTCGCCAGCGAATTATCAAAATATGAGATTGCTGTCTGCGATAAACAACTTCCAGGCTGCTTGCTACCCTCTGCAGACATCTGCCAATAATTCTGAGATGCGCTCATTGCCTAACCCGCAAGTCCTACCCGCGATTTTCCCGTCCTACTTATGTAGCTCGATCATTAAAACAGACCAGGGTGCAGCCATTCGTGCAATCTTTTCGCCAGTGCTGTCTCAATGCAAAGTGGAGATCGATATCCTTTCCGCTAAGATTCCGCACATTGCGAGAGAGCTATTTGGGGCACACATGGAGATTATGGCCGGACAATTGTACATGAGGCTCGATAGCGGTGGAACAGCGTCATTCTCCACGTTGACTCTTACTGGAGCAGATCGTGAGGCTGCAAACAGACTTCTGGGATCATTCTTCAATATAATGCAGACGAACATCTCATATACAATGGAGTGCAATATGGGGGAAACTCGAACCAAATTGATATCTTTAGAGATTCAAGGGAATATTGAAAAGTACAGCTGCCTGACTATCCACGGAGATCAAGAATTGGTCTCAAGGATGGCTGAACATCTTTGGCCATCTTATCCTTTCTAGAGACGAATGCTACTTCCTTATTATGCTGTTCCTCCATCTTCCTGTATTATGTAGACTTCTCCCCCTGTTGTGTATATTTACTAGCCTTGCTCAAGCTTCAATTGCCCTGTGTTCTCAAGGTCTCTATATTCCTCGGCTTCGGATTTCTTATAGCATGCTTTTTTGCAGTTGCTCCAGACAATCGTCTGCCCTTTGGCGCCATTAATTCTCCCAGGTCCTGCTTTTTTTGGGGTCGATCCGTTCGAATTTGGTACGCAAGCCTCGAAGTCTCAGTCAGCGTCAGGTAGATTTAAGGGAATAGCTAAGCTTACTGTGGAAAGATTTTGTGGCATGTTGTGCAGCGCAGTTATCCTAGGTGTAGTCTTAGATGAAGGTAAAGGATGCAAGGGGATAGGGAGACGTGGATGAAAAGCTCCGACTCGAAAAGCACAATGTGTTATGCGCTGCTGATATATGAAGAATTAGCGCAAGTGGGGTTCACTAGATGCCTGGTTGCCTTATGTAGGCCTGAGAATGCCTGAGGCATTAACTTTGTCAGGCCGCATATTTCTGGCATCATTTTCCTCCCTCCAATCTCGCAAACTTCTGACTCGATCATCAGTCCTGACTGCTGAAAACAGCTCGCCGCGCTTGGAAATAAATATGTTAAATTACTCTTTCTTCTTTATTTTTGTTTTTGTTTCTTCTTTTCTCTTCTTTTCCTTTTTTTTTCTTTCTATTTTCCCCTTTGTTATAGAAGAGTAATAAGTAGAAGACATGTTCATTTTTGTCCTCAGCTTAATTTTCAGCTCAGGCAGTAAAAAATAGAGAGCCAAATTCGAACCCTGTTGATAAGATAACCAAAAGTTGAAATGCGGATGCTATAATTTCAAATACCTCGGCGCAGTGAGCACATATATACCTCCTCGTCCCATATGTGAATTATTGTATACTGCTATATACAACTGCCTCTCTTGACGAAAATTCGGCCGAACATAGAGCTGCAACAGAAAAGCTGCCGGAAACCAGCGGGTCCAGGAAAGAGATGGAGGATCTTATCAAAGACAGGGAAGCAATACTGGCCATGAGGGAAGTCGTCCGTCGTGCGGGGCTGCAGATTGATAGTCTTAAAGCTGAGCAATCAGAACACTGAATCTGGCAATAACTTTTCGCATGGCAATATGGAGATACTGTAAGGCCGATACAACATCAGCGCGAGCAGAATACGAAGAAGTGAGACGAGGAATTTCTAGTAGTAAACAATTGTACTGGCCTTGGCACTGTTCAGTTATCAGCCAGGTAAATACTCGTACTAAGAGATACTTGACAATTCTAGTATATAAGAAATCAGGTAGAGCACCCAGATGTAGACTGCTACTTAAGTTCTCTAAGTAACAGGTGACGCCGACCCAAGCGTAGGAAGTAAACAAAGCAACAGCAACTGAAGGTCAGAAACTGCAAAACCAGATGTGAACTCTTGCCTTATTCACTATACTAAGGCAGGAGGCTGATGGGTTTAGCAAAGCATCCGCCAATACTGGAAAGCACTTGATAGGGTAGTGGTGTCCTTAACAGATATGGCTTTGGGGTAAAGGGCAATGCGGACAGACTATCTGATGTAACTTTTGCTTTTATGCAATGACTGCTTTTTCTTTCGTAGATATGTGTTCCGTGCTCGCCTTCCCCCCGAATACGTGTTGATTGCATATACATATGGACTAGTCTTTGTTCTTTACTCTGTCTAGGAACAGAGTTCCGAAAAGCCCCGGGTTTGACAGGCGCATTCGGTGAGTAGACCTTCCAATATTCAATTATGTAAAGATCAGTATTCCTTATACCAAGCGTTCAGACATTATATATTACTGATGATATGCGATAGAATTCTTTTTTTATATAGCTTGGGGTTATTAGCGCATGCTTGCCGACGCCGCTCCACCCCACATATCCCGAGGTATGCACGGTATGGTAGCCGCTGAAGATATCGATACCTAAGAAAGTGTCCTTTTCTCATCCTCCCCTTCTTTCTGGGTCAAATCGAGGTCGTCCGCGCAGGCGACCAAGCCATCAGTCATCCTCCTTTGAAGAACGCCAGCCTTAAGACTACCCGCCAAGCATTGACTCGCAGCCCATCTCGAAGTAGTGTCGATCTCAATCATATGAACCAAGATCTGGATAACCTTATCACCATCTTCTTGGTCCCTCAACTTGTCGAGGAGCAGCTTGTTCCATTTGTTAGCCCAATCGCTTGACTGCTGGTCTCCGGGGGGGGGTTTTCGGAATGCCGTAGATCCATTCCAAGGCGATGACGCCTAGCGATCAGATGTCTACATGGGTTCCGTAGCTGGAACTATGCTCAGGCAATACCTCGGGCGCTGTGTACTTGAGCGAGCTGCAGAAAGTCTGCAGAGAAGTAGAGTTGGTTGCAATCTTGGCTAGACCGAAATCGGCGATAACGACTTTGAATAGCAGCTCTATCTCAACCAAGAAGTTCTCGGGTTTGAGATTGCGGTGGACTATCTTTCTATTATAGAGATGATTAAGGCTGTTAAGAATCTGGCTCCAAGCAGTGATGTATTTGCTCTTCTCGATATTAATATCAGCTATGCTTCCAGAGCCATAGAAGGCTATGATGATTGCAGGCTCTGAGAACTTCTGAAGTTCAAATACTTGTAATATATTCGGCTTTACTGTAATTAGTATTATATTGAAGTTTATGAATGTAGAATAGTGAGCTTATATGAGGATTGTCTCTTATAAAAGTGAATTCTGTGCGTATCTTAGTAAGCCATACGGTGTTGAGTCCATCCCTTCGTTTCTTATTTTCATTAGGTGGAGGGCTGAATATCTTAGCAGCGAAAACCTTCCCATATCGCCCTTTAACAACCTTATAAACTCGATCAAACGTTCCCTCTCCAATCTTTTCAGCCTCATAGTAGATAAGCTTCTCATATGGAGTCGGAACCTCACTAGATGCTTGGATTACCAGCTCGCTCTCCAAGCTGAGCGCTTTAAAGCTAGGAGGATCTACACTAGTTCTCTCAGCTGCTTCCTAGCACTTCTTGAGAAACGCTTGCAGATTTTGAACGTAGCGCGGAGATGCTGCTGCATGATTGGAAAACTGGATCTTCATAACAAGGCTACTACAGTAGATTATTGTTTCTTCAAATTCATCGGAAATGCTAAATGCATCTTCCAGAATCCACATCTTTCTGTTTCACATCTTTGTCTAGTTCTGCTCATTTCAGCCAACTGCAGTGCTGTATTGCAACTCATAATTGTACAGCCAGATATAAAGAGATTCGTTTACAGTAATATTGTATTGATATTAGGATTAGCAGAAGCTAAGCATTGGTAGCATATATTCTTATTGTAGATGTTGGTATACCTGCTTGCTGCTGATCCCTCTCGTTCCGCAGTGCTCCAGGAGGATATGAGATATAATAGGGTTTGTGCTCAGCTATAAACCATTCTGGAGATTGTTCAATATGAGCAGCTGATCGAAAGCTACAATCAGACAGTTAACGCTGCAATCTTCTGCATCATCAGCATCATCCGACTATAAGACTTCAGCAGGCGTAGCCTCATGATTATTAATGGTGGGCACTAAAGCGATACTCACAGTGCCTCTGCGAAACCATCTTGCGTTGTGCTCAAGCTCGAAAGCACTGCTTGCCTTGTTCTTCTGATCATGCGCAGTAAGCACTGCAAAGATATCAAGATCATACATAATGCCTCGAAGTAGTGAGAGATAGGAAGGATAGAGATATTGAGCAATGAAGGGCTAGACAATACAGCACTTGGGAAGGAGCTGGGAATTGGAATATATTCATATCTGATGCATGGAGCAGCTTGAAAGAAGCTCTGGCAGCAGGGACTCCAGCGCATGCAGCAGTTGAATGCATGATTGATTGGGCTGAAATAGCAGTAAGATTAGCTGCTCCACCCCTGAGAAAAAGCAGGACTAGTGTTGTTGTCAGAGGGTATGCAGGGCATCAGCCACTTGGCGAATGATTGGCCAGCTGCTACTTTTAGTGTCCTCAGCCACCCCGCCTGGTCCCTTCCAGCACATGAAGTGGCACAATGTCACCTGTCATGTCCCCTCCCTCTAATTTGTGTTTTTTATCTTCTTGTCCCTTGTATCGCATAGCAATCCACCACCACTGCAAGCACCATCACTATACTTCTACTCTATGTACAATGCACATTCCAACTGAATCACCCATTGATACTGTTGAAATCTCTAAGTCTGACAACTTCAGGTTCGTGAAGCAGCATAATAGCCCCTAACTTAAACGCCACCAGCTGTGCTAACGCTTGCTTTCTGTGGAAAGCATTATCAAGATTTCAGGCGTTGAGACACTTTCAGGGTCCGAGCAATATTCAGCTCTCTGAAGAGCAGAGTAAGGAATTGAACAAGCTGAGAGCAATTCTAGAATCAGGCTAACACAACATTAGCCTTGGACAGCAGCTGACAACAAATGCTCTTGATGCTAAAGCTCTCTACTCGAGATTATTATTCATCTGTTTCTTCTCTTTATATCCTCCTTATACTAATGCTGTGATAATGCAGAGCAATAACACCGCCTCCAGATGAGGAGGAAGATAACAAAGAATCTTGCTGGCTCGAAGCTGATGTGCGAAAGGAGCTTGAAAGCGATAGCTGTCCTGCCTGTTACCCATCCGAACTCAATATCCCTGTGCGAAATCCGACGAATGAATACCAACTGATAATAGAGTACTAGCAATCATTCTTATCAACAGGCGATGTAGTACTTTGTGCTTAAAGAATAGACTGGCGGAAGTTTCGAGCATCTCAGCAAAGTATCCGGAAACGGTATCAATACAATTCGTTCGGCATGTTTGTGGCTAGTGTTTGCGAACGTCGGCGAAGGCACGGACTTAGTAGTTATGTCCAATTGCGGTCAAACCCTCAGCAGCAGAGCTAGCAACAGACTTGGATCGAGTTTCAGGACTATCATCTTATCCGCCATGAGCAGTTCGGGAAGAATCAAGACGAATTGGTGGAAAAGTTGCATGATTTCCAGAAACAAGCCGGTGCTATAGACTTGGAAGGTTCTGGACACTCAGTTCGCAGCGAGAAAGCTATCCAGAGACGCCTCGAATATGCCGAACGAACTCTGCAATCGCACAAGGTGCTCCTGAGGTGGATCGAGCAACAACGGTTTAGGATGGATTCATGGCCTCTTTCCTCTATCAGAGAGACTGACGATCAGAGAGCTATACCAAGAGTCTCCTCTCGTCAGCGCCGATCAAGGCAATTCAACACTTCTACAGTCCGAGGCAAGGTCAGAGTATCGAAACCCATGCTGAAGAGTTCAAATATGCGGGCCCAGATGTTGAAAGCTTCGAAATCCCAACCTGTCATTATAGACTTTGATATTATGGCCCCGGACTGTACTCAACAAAGACTGGAGCGTCAAGGGATGAAGCCCCTGTGCCAAGGAGAAACCACTCGGCCCCCTCAACCAACTTTGCCCACAGATAAGCAGGCTCGAGGCCGAGCACAAGCTCAGCGCCAGTTGACCCAACTACGATCACGATCTGAACTTGATGCCTTTAAGACCCGAAGTGGAAGGATATCAAGGCCGCCAGTGAGATGGTCTGTTGCGTGACAGCTGATGATTACTCCACGATATCTATAACATTTAGAAATGACAACTGGATGGAAGTCTCACAGAAAAAGGAAAGAGGCCAATGGAGTTCACAGCTATGTATTGATACTATTGATAGATTAATTATCCTATTGCCAGGCAGAACCAAAGGAGCTTGGCAATACTACTATTGTACCTGGATAGATATGCTATAGTAGTTAAGTATTGAAGTCCTTGCAACTTCAGTAGCCCCAAAGGCAGCGAGTATTGCAGTGAACAACTATTTGCTGTGTCTTTTAACGAAGGTCTTAACTTGGCACCGCTCTTGTTAGCATGAACCTTTGAAGTACCTAAGGAGTCTTCGGATTACTGCAGTGCTCATTACAGCCATATGATAGTGGATCTGCCGACCTGGCGTCTGTCCTCGCTTGTTCCGCGTGACCTGTTTCGTGACCTGGTTATGACACCCAGATATTGTTCCGTATCCAAGGACAATACTTGGCACCGCTCTTGTTGGCATAAACCTTTGGTGCACTTAGAGATCTCAACTATCAGGTCAGGCATACGACAGCCCAGCTAGGTCAGCTTATGAGAGATTGTGAGAATGAGATACTGGAAGCCGAGTATGACTATATTACTCCCCTGCACTCGTTCAAGTTTCAATACAAGCAGATCTCGGCATGGTTCAGAATCAAAGAGATTGAGAACCTTCGCAAAATGATACAGGATGCGGACTACTGGGCAGTCGAAGCTTGCGTGCTGTTGCATGACCTACTGCATAAGATATCTTCTGGCCGGGCAGATCAGGAGCAAACCCTTAAGTCTGTGGTAGACGTAGCCAATGCGCTCTACCTGAGTATTCAAGATAATCTGATGATGGTGAGCTACTATGTAGACTGAGTTTGTTAGAGGTTGCAGGAACTTTTAAATAACAGTATGCAGGATTCAGATAAAAATAGAAGGACAAGTCAGTGGCAAGAGGCAATTAGGCATTTGCATGACATTGCTAGGATATCTAGGATAAGCCTTACCAAAATCCGAAAAATACAATAGGGAATCATAGGTAAATAATTAAAGGCCTACAGGCATCATCAGGAGTACAAAGTATGTATGCATTCTAGGACCTTGCTCGAGCAGCATTAGAAAAACAAGTTTATATTAGTGAAATTCTATAGCATCATTGATATCTAGTCATCAGTTTCTGATATTCCCTGTGCATATGTCGCACTTATAGGAAAATTGTTTACTGAAGCTGAAGCCAACAGAGAGCTGCTATCATATTGAGATTTCCTTTCTCCTATTGCGCCTCGTAGTTTTCTTCCTGATGCCTCCCGGTCCACAGGTATAGTCTCGGTTGCCAGGAGTTGCTGATATTCGATAAGGTTCGATCCCATCATCGGAAGATGCATCAACGCACCGCTCTCCGACGATGACCAAGTCAGAATCTTCGGATACAGGCAAAGAAGATTGTGACTTGAAACTGTCCACGAGGGGGCGGATTTGCGAGAAACATCGAGATTCTTCCGAGGAAGTAGCCTTGAGTTTGCGGTTGTCGCACCTGAGTGTCGTGTTGTCAGACTTGAGATCCCTGTTTTCGCGGTATAAGACATCGATACGGCTTCGCAAGCCCTCGATCTCATGCTGGAACTCTGTAATCTGGGATCGCAAGTCCATAGTATCTGACCCAGCAATCTCAGCAATAGTCTTCCAATATATTACTCTTGACCTAGCTTCTTCAGTGGCTAAAACTTGCACTGTAAGCTTGTTCTGAATATCTGTCCAGGCTAACTCATGCTGTTGTTGCAAAGTATCAGCCCGTGCTTGTTCTGACTGAGCCCACTGCACTGCATTTTCAGATGCTGCTTTGTAGGTAGCTTGAATCCTCTGTTATAACTGATTGTTCCTGAGGAGTTCGTGGTTTATTAGCTTGCGGATTATTCGGAGTTATCCGATTCTTTCTTTGCTATTCCTTTCTTGAAATTATCAATTAGGTTGGTTAGGAGTTGAATCTGCTCTCTTTCTTCGTTTAGTAGTTCCCGAAGTTCTTTCTCGAAATTCCTCTGTTTCGCTATTTATTGTTCGTGGAAGCTTCGTTGATGGGTTTGCTTCATGATGTCTGATCCTTCCGAGTTGTTGCTATTCATGACTTCGTTGTGCAGCGATTCAACCTTCCTTGCTTTCTGTTGTTTTCCCTTGGGTTTCTTGGGATACCATCCTGATGCATCTTTCTCGCTGAGGTGCAGTATGCAGTGATTGTCGTAGCAGGCTGTTCAGCTGAGGCTGCTGTAATCAGGGTCTGCTGCTTGCTCCGGAATTTGATTGGGGTTAGTGGTTGCTTGGTTCTTGAGGTGTAGTAGACAATCTACACAACAGGTGCAGATAATCTCGGGGATATAGTAGGTTCGACACTTGATGTTGTTGCAAGTGCATCAAATCTCTTCTCGTGTAGTAACTGCGAGTTGTTATTCCGTGGCGTTGGCCTGTTGCCCTTCAGAAACGAGTTTCCATCCTCCCTGATTCTTCTTCTTTCTGAATTCTCGGGCGAAGTGCTCTAGTTTTCTGCAGTAGAAGCAGTTCCTGTTGTTGGGCTTCTTGCCCTCCTGCCAGTTAGCGGCATCAATTTCCATTGGTTCTGCATGGGTTGTGCCTCTGTAAGCTATACTAAGCCTTCTCTGATTGCCTTGATTGCTCCGAGGCTGATACTTCTTTCCAGTATTAGCTTGGTTGCATACGATCCATGGAAGATAGGGCTTCCCTTTCTTTTCCAATCTTCATTCGTACTATCTGTTGTCGATTTTGGTGGCTAGCGCAATGAAATCCGCCAGTTTCGTAGATCGTTCGGTACATAAGAGGTCGTCCTTGACCTCGTTCTTAAGATCATTGTAGTACTGAGCGATGAGTGCTTGGTTGTCCCACTGGAAATGCGATGAGGCCTTCCTGAACTCCGTGGTGTACTTAGCCGCTGATGATGTTTGTTGGAGTTTGAGGAGGTCTCGTTCAGCCTTGCGTTATTTGTTCGTATTATCGAAGATATTCTTAAGGGATTATTCTATATTGCTGAAGTCCTTGAAAATGTATACTATATGCTTATCTTGTTCGAGGGTATCAAAGTTACAGAAGTTCCGAAGAACAGGTTCGAACCATGCAAGAACGTCTTCTTTCAAGCGATATCCGACAAAGAGAATCTTATTGAATTCCTCCTTGAACTTCTTCTTCTCGTATTCGAAATAGGCCTTGCACTGGATGAGGAACGCCTAGAGAGCGTAGCGTTCTCCTTCATAGGGGCTGGGCATCTCCATCTTGAAGTGGAGCTCCTTGTTACCAGCCTTCTGTTGTTCTTCAAGCTCCTTGATGCGTTTCATGAAAGCTTCAACCTGCTCACTGAGATTAGTGGGGTTAGTAGCGCTGCCTGCAATAAATCCGATTAGAGTTTGAGAAGCTATCGTATTTCCTATTGCTCAAGAGGTATATACTGAACTATTCTTGAACAAGAGTTATCAAAATGTAATGAATGCTGCAATATTTCCAAGATTCTGAAGTATCCGGGGATTTATGCTAACAAGAGCAGTGCTAAGTATAAGCCTTGAATAGAAAACAACTGTAATAACATGCTGAGTATTTACTGCCTTTGGGGCTATCAGAATATAGTTGCTTTAATACTTAGATTGATAACTGAAGAGCTATATCTGTGATTCTATCTAGTGATAATGAATGTATCTTATATATCCAGCTCTTCGCTGTAGCTCATCTGAGTTACCAGATGATTTAGATGATCCGGCTAATAATATCTCGAGAGAAATCTAAGCAATAATAAATCTTTTGAAGAATAAGTTCATTTATCTTATTATTATTAATACAATATAATAGCTATATTTAGCTAACTTCTAGTAGTATTATCAAGCTTTCTCTAGTTATAATTTCTGGAATCTTTATTATAAAATTGATGCTATCAAAATATTCTCTAATATTAAATATATAGCAGGTAGTACTAGTATTTCTATAGATCTCTTGTTGATAAGCATGTGAGTATAAATATTGTATTTGATTGGTGAATAGTATGTGCTGTGAGGATTAATCTTGGACTAGGGTTTCTGCTGATAGATAGATGTACTGATGCTCTTCCTTTCAGCTATTTAGCTGTTTTTTTAGCGGTTAAATTGGCTTGTTGAGGGCTCGAGGTGTTGCTCGAGGTCTTTTCCTCTTAGCCTTTCTTTCCTCGCCAGTTCTCCTTATCCTTTCGCTTTTCAGGGTAGATGATTCAGCAGTTCTCAGCTGAATAGCCCTTGTGAGAACAGGTTCAATTGCTCGTCCTTTTGCCTCCCCTTTTGAGCCCTTGTTAGCTTGTTAAGGTTGGCTATTTCGAGGGTCCTCAAGTTCCTGACCTCGTCGATGTAATCAGCTTGAATTGCCTTAAGGGAAAAGGCCCCTGGGGGCGCTGAGCCGCATCGTTTGTCGAATTCGAGCCACCCACTGAGGGTTTTCAGCCTGAATGCCCTGAATAAAGCTGACTTGGTACTCGACCTCGTCGACCTGGCGGCCTAGGAGGGTGAGGCGCTCTTTGAGGAGGTTGAACGCGTTGACATACTCGCTTGAGGTCTTGAACGCATTGCTTTTGATGAACTGGAGGTCCGCGAGAAGCTCCTGGTATTGAACAGGGCCTGTGCCTATTGCCCAGTCCCTGAGGATGAGCCATTTGGTCACTGGGTCGGATTTATAGCTGACGAGGCTTCTGGCCTCTTTGCCACACGAACGGCGGTGGATCATACTATCGACAGCTGATAGCTGAATGTCGCGATCCTCAGGTTCGACGAGGTTGATGGAGATTGCCAGGGCCTTCTTTTCAGCCTCAGTCAGATGTGCCTTCTTTTGGAGGGCCACAAAGAGAGGCTTCATCAAGTCGAACTTCTTATATTCGATGAAGAGCCTCTTCATTGGGAGCTCCCAGGTGGTTCAGTTGCCCTGGGTAAGCCATTCCTCTTTGCTGAGGTGCCTCGAGGTTGAGGAGGCTCCCTCCTTCCTTTCCTCGGTGTCAGACATGGCTTCTTGTGTTGAAGGAGGTTTTTCCTCCTTTTGCCTAGTCTTCAGGTTGGGCCAGGTCTTTTGTTGATAAGGCTGTGCCGTATTCACGCCCGGAGCGAGTACTCCTTATGTTGAGGTCCTCTAGCTGATCAGGCATGGAGGATACAGTGTATGAGGATGTCGAGTGCCTCTATGCCTCCAGGGTTAGAGATCACGATCGTACTGATAATGTGTTGAATAACGAACATCTATTGAAGCTTATCTCTTCTATTCTATGTACTGACGAGAGTCGTATAATGCTCTCTTTTATCCTCAACTAGGCCCTGAGGGCCTGACTCGCCTTGAGGGATATCTGAATCAGTCAATCCGGCGGCACGGCGTGGCCGGACTGGCTGAGGAATGGGCCGGAGCGGCCTGAATAGTGGCTTACATTCAACACTTGGTGCTGTGATCAATACGACTTGGCCTGAGAGCACTAATTACACGGTCTGCCAGCCTTAACACAGATACACAACAAGGGAGACCAACTTAATTGTCAGTTACTGCGTCCACGTGGGCCGCTGGGCCTGGTGCAGGTGAACATGTTTTGTTGTGTTAGAGAGAAGGGAGGAGGAGGGCATGCGAACCGTCACTAACGCTCCCCGTCATCTCTTTTTGCCCAGTCTATCTTCTCTTCCATGCTTCCCTGTGCTGCTTTCGAACTTCTCCTTCTTCTCTGTTTCCTCTGCTTTTCCCCCAGGCATGCGTTGCATATATATGCATGTGTTTGTGAGAGAGAGAATCAGAGGAAGGCCAGAGATTGTAGTCTCCACCACCGACTACTCGATTGAAACTGGTCTTCCGAAAGAAGCGTTTGAGATTGGGAACTACGTAGGAGATGCGATGGCAAGGATTCGAAAATCAATCGCCACAAGGTTTCAAACTGACGATGCCCTCGCTGCATCCCCTCTTCAGGTTTCCTCTTCTCTGTAATTAGAAAGGCTTGTTGATTGCTTACCTACTTTAGCAAGAGTATAGCTCTATCTCACTCCTACCGGGGAGCGATGATTGTGATCTAGACTGGGAGCTACTAAGGCTCGGGAGAAATGTCAAGATTGGGCCTGCCACTCTTGAGTGGAGGATTCCATGTTTCTGTACGTCCTTGCTCTCTTGAACTACGTGCAAGCATGTTATGAACAACACGTTGATGAACAAAAGTCACGACCTGCGACAATGCGACTTGGCTGCCTGCTGTTCGGTTACTATTTACCAGTTTACTACAGTAGTACATTGACTTGCTGGAGTCTATAATTAACACGCGAAACACACACGCGTTACTAATTTTTTTTTTTTCAGTTGGAAACAACAATGCCAGCCAAATGGGATCTCGACGACCAGATTATCTTTATTATTTTGAAAATTTACATTGAAGCTCGCAAGCACCAGCAGAAGTTGTCTTGGTATTCCAGCGCCGCCCAAAAGAGCAGCCCCACCACCTTTTGTGGTTCCGACCACCGATCCCTGGAGCAACAACCCCGCCACGCGTCAACAGTCAAACGTCACCGTCCCGGACACGCGCATACTTCGAACTGCGAGAAGTTTTATTTCTTATTTTTATTATTATTATTTTTTTTTTTTCCCAATTGCCCACGCCCGTGAATCACTAGAGAGAAATATTCTCAAGCAGTCTGGCACCGCCCCTGCTTTGTGGAGGAGGAGAAGAGGGGGGAGGAAGGGAGCAAAGAAGCAAAGAAGCAAAGAAGGAAGGACCTAACGATGACCTAGCGTGCACACCGCGTCTTCCCAGGATCAAGATCCACCGTCGAATTCCTCCACCGTCGAATTCCACCGTGAACTTTCCTTACCCATCACATCGTTCACCACGGCATTTCGACACCCCCCCGCCGTACCATGGCGCCCCGCTTCCTCGCCCCCAAGGAGATCGGCCTTCTCATTCTCCTGACCATCTACTGCGAGGGCGCTGTGCCAGCTGACCAGCTCATCAACATCCTCACCTTCCTCGCTAGCCATAGCCACACCATCCCGATCAAAATCCCCTCTGCCCCACAACGCCGCTTCCAGAGGGCCCAGGAGGACATAGACCTGATCGAGTCCATCACCCCGTTCGAGACTCTCCTGCAGCCCATCCCTGCCGCCGTGGGCCTTCCCGGCCGGAGGTTGTGGGATCTCTTCCTCTCCCGCCTATGGGATCTCGACTCCCTCGATACCCTCCACCGCTTCTTCTACGGCCTGCCCGCCATCATCGCCACCAAGGAACAGATCCGCCGCATGATCGAGCACGATGACAACCATGAAGGCGCCGACCTCGACCACACCGTCCCTCTGCTGTCAAACTCCCCCCTGGGTCTATTCGCCCGCAGGGCTCATGTCGAGTTCCGCAGGCTCCCCTTCCTGAGCGCCTCCCGCCTATGGACGGACTTTGTCATATACCGCCAGCCGACCGCCGCCGCCTGGGCTCGTTGTGGTAGTCCCATACTGGGCCTACGACCGCTATCCTCCTTCGACGCCGCTCTCGAGGCCGGCGCCCCTCCCGATTGGGGCTCCTGGGTCCCCGATCTTGTGTATGGCGACGTCGGCAACACCCCGACGCCCGCGAGCGCCTGGAACATTGATGGCCTGATTGAGTTCCAGGTTGCCCAGATGCAACGTATAGTTTTGTCCCTCTGCTCTACTCTCCTGTCCTTGCGGGCTCTTGGCCTTGGGGGGGTTGGTCATCCTTCTTCCAACCTACCTTTGTGTGCTGCTAACTTTGGTTGACTTGCGCTCTTCCTGATTTCAGGATACGGGGTCCGCGTGCCTCGGGAGCTGCAACAGCGCTTCTCTATTTTGCTCGAGACCAGTCGTGCCAACCCAAGACTGGCATATTATCTCAGGTGCGGCACTGGCCCTCCTTCTCCCCTTTTCTTCTCCGGTGGCAACAAAGACCAGCACTGACTCGTTTTTTTTTTTTTTTTTCCTTTTTGATCAGGTTCCTGGAAGCATGGAGGTCCGGCGACCAGTCTACCTCGTTCGAGTATCTGCACCGCTTCTTCGACTACACCATGCAGAACAGCGATCGCGAACACCACCAGTATGCCCTGCTGAACCTGGCAGTTCTGCAGGAAGATTTCGGCTGCCACGCAGACGCCATGTCCTCCATCCTCGAGACCATCGCCGCGGGCCGCCAAAAGCAAGACATCACCTGCCTCAACTTCGCCCTGAACTTCTACTACAACTTCAGCCTGCAGCACCCGCGTCTAGTCGAATCTGCCAGAGCCCGCACCATGTCTGCCGCCGGCCGAGAGACCCTCAGGTATCTTGGCTCCAAAGCCCAGGAAGCCGGCATGTGGCCTACCTGGTGTACCGCCCTGTTAGCCGAAGCCAAGGAAGGCCTCACCAGCGGTGGCAGCATCGCCCTCGCTCTGGAGAACATTGCGCGCAGCTCGCACATCATCGTGCGGCGCGGCCTGGTCAATATGTTTGGCACCCAGCTCTCCCTCTACGTCACTGTCTGGGACCGTGTGGGTGTTGGCATCCTCGCCAACATGCTCTGCGACATGTTCCTGCGCTGTCATGCCCAGAATGCCATCCTGGATGACACCCTGAAGATTACCTGCCGCCTCGCTGGCCTGTTGGTTGGAGCTGGTAGGTACGACGAGGGGCTGGAGCTCCTCGAGAACATGGACCCCGACTGCCTGCACATCTGGAAATCCGAAAGGTACCGCCAGAAGCTGCGCGCCCTTGTTAAGCTGCGCAGGAACCTTCATCGCGGCGACCTCGACGCAGCCGACCTCCTCCTGCGCCAGGTCTTGCAGACGAGAAGCGACGACGAGCCCGACCTGCTTTTTGTTGCTGACTCCCTCCACTTCGATCTGCTCGTCCGCCGCGGCGATTTCCGCGCTGCCTTTGACACGGTTGACCGTCTCATCACTGAGGCACACGAGCGCAGCGGCCGCCTTGGCGCTGACGTCGTGCTGCGTGTCCGGCTGCTCCTGATGAAGGCCCACCTTTTTGAGCGCACCGGTCGCCCGCACCGAGGCTTCTCGATCGCCGTGCGTGCCGTCGCCCTGTCTTGGAAGGCCGGTCTGCCCGCCCTCCTCTGGCAGTCCGTCGCTGCACTGGCCGTCATCCTCAACGCCCTCGGCGATCACGACGGCGCTGCTGACCTGCTGTGCGCCGTCCTCCCGCGATGTTTAGAGTCCGACTTTAGTCACCTGGCTGCCAACATGTATTCGAGCCTTGCCGATGCGTACGTCGGTATCGCAGGACAGGTCGGGGCCAAGACGCCGGCGGTACAGGGCGGCAGGTCATATGAGGCGAATGACGAGGAGGACGAAGAGGAGGAGGACGAAGAGGAGGAGGACGAAGAGGAGGAGGACGACGACGACGACTTGATCGTGGTGGATCAGGACGACACCGCAGAGAAGGCGAGGATGGAGTACCTAAACAAAGCTATGGACCCGCTGCGGCGCGCCTTTGAACTCTATGTAGCCGTAGAAGATCTACAGCAGAAGCTGGAGGTGACGGCCAAGATGGCCATGATCATGAGGGTCAGAGGCGAGATGACGGCGGCGGACGACCTGGCCGCCAGGTATCTGGAGTTGAGGACGGGAGGCGATGACGGTATGAGGTAAGTTGGGGGTCTAGATCCTGTCAGAGACGTGGGTTGGTGAAGTGCAGACCTCACAGATTTGGTCTGTCTACCAATGAGAAACTGGTGGGAGATGGGGCATTATATCACCATCTAACAGCAACAAGCCGCTGCGCCTCCAAACAAAAGGACATGACAAAAGCAATTGAGCCTCTGTGCCATCAAGTGGATCCCAGGGGGGCATGCTCGGTGGCCGGCTCTGGATAAGGCGAGCAACGGGTCACAGCTGGGATAATGTATCTATACCACATCACGGGCGAATAGCAACGACCGATTACTTTTTGCTTTCGTTCTTGATACCGTGGTCGTGGGATGCGTATGAAGACGCTATTTCACGGAGCATGGCTCGCGAGCCTGCCCTGTGCACGATGAGGACCCGGTGCAAGATGGTATACATATGAAGACACAGCAGCACGACTTGCTACAACTCTTGGCCCTCCCCAGGTTCATATTCAGTCGATAGTGCTGCGCATGTCGATGTTGTTCAGATAATAGCACCGTAACCCCGCAGCTTGTCAACGATTCTCCTATGATCAGACTATGGATTGCAGCTTGCGTCGTGGTGTCCCCATTATGAGTCCCGGTCATGGCGTTCCGGCCCCTGACACAGGCAACCAGCCGGCGGCCCAGCTCCGTGTAGAGACCTGCCCTGCGGTGGAAAGCGCAACAAGAACAACATGAGCTCGTCACATACATTACACACACACACACACACACACACACACACACACACACATACACACACATACAAACAATGACACCTAACAGACAAGTTTTAAAGTTCCACTCTGTTCAAGTGCATACGTAGCCAAATCGATTGCTGCGACTCTAGAACACATGTACACAGGTCGATCTGTCCGTCCGTCGACGGTGCGCCCCATCCGCCCTCTGCTTCTATACGTCCGCCGTTCTCAATCTACCTCCATCCTTTTCGCCATCACGCCTCCTCTTGTTGTTGTTGTTCGTGTCACATGTACAAGAACTCTGTTGGGTCGATTGTCTTCTTCTTAGGCAGTCTTGTCCTTGTTGTGGTAGTTGACCTTGTCGTTCCAGCTGTGTCGTGCGAGATCTGTCAGCATACTGCGCACGTCATGGGGAAGAAGCAGAAAGGAAGAAGAAGGAGAAAAGGAGAGCATAGCGTCAGAACGAGGGGTCAGGCCAATGATTGATGTTCTGCTGGCGTGAAGAGGCCGTCGCAGCATGGTCTTGCTTGGTGGAGATTCAAGATATGATGTGGACTTGTTGAAAGTTCGGGACACCACGATGCGGGTTTGTTTAGGCATGAGGGGAATCACCGGTTCCTTGAGTCGATTTGGATGTGCGCATTTGTGGGAAAACCTACAAGAGAGTCTGGCGAGCACGGTCAGCACTTGATATTTAACGGTCGATATTCAACAGCTTTTTTCAGGGAAGTTGCTGGACAAGGAAGCAAGACGAAGGACCACATTGGTGCCATGCACCTCAGCCTCCCGCCGCTGTCACAACCACAAGACAAATATACCGCCGATAGATAGAGGAGAGGGGGGAACAACAGAAGATAGCGCTTACCTTGTCACCGTCACCCCACTGGTAGTTCTTGGTCTGGTTTCAGGCACTCAAATTAGCACCCAGACCTCTGTATACTTGTGACCCGGGGTTAAAGAAGGAAAGGATGAGACGTACCCGGATGTTCTGGTAGGGATACTCAGGACGCTCCTCCAGAGGAGGCAAGTGAGACCAGTGCTCCCAGTGCTCGTTCCAAAGCCAGTAGGCGTTGATACCGGCGCCGAAAAGGGCAGGGATGCAGACGCTGTGGAGGTTGGAAAGAGAAAAAAAAAAAAGAAAAAAAGTCAGCTCTTCTTGTTGTCATCTTTCATTTCGGTGATGGCAACGGCGATTGGCACTGTAGCCCGCACGGGCGAGGTGCCGGCTGCTTCGAGCTTCCCGGGTTTCCATCTGTTTTCCTTTTATCTATACGGTGTAGCTCTAGACAGCGGCGCCTCCCCTCCTCCTTCTCGCCAGAACCGGTCGTTGTGCTTTCGCCAAAGGGAGGTTCGGGAGAGGCCGAAAAAGGGGGTCCATGGGTTTGGCGAGAGATGGGGGACATCGAAAAGGGGTTTGGGGGGTTTGGGGGATGGGGGGGGGGGGGAGGGGATGGTTTATCATACAAGATGGAAATCTTCTTCCAGAGGCCTAGAAACCATTCCCAATTGCGTCAGTAGTTGTCCCCCCACCCATACATATATCACCTGAGGACACCGCGACTCATAAAACATAAAGTAAAGGAATCTTACCGGTGGACTCGGCAGCGTGCTCCTTGACGGCACGGCGCTCGGCAGCAAAGGCAGTCTCGCCAGCCCTCGGGGCGGTGCTTGCGAAACGGCGCTGCAGGACGGGGGAGCGCAGGGCGCGCAAGACCTGGCGTTGGGCATACATCTTTGGGTGTGGTGAATGGGTGTCGGCCGATCTGTAGAGATCTCAGCGGGTGTGTGTCAATTGGAGAGTGGAGAGCTTTCTTGCTGTGGTGGTAGGGTGGTCGTCGCGAATTGAGGTCTTTTGATGTTGCGAAATCAGGCCATGGACGGATTGCCGGGTTAGGAATCGAGGAAGCTCGGACCACCTTCTTCCATGCGCGGAGCTGCATCAGGCTGGCAGAGCAGCCCCTCACCCCCTTGCTCCCTCCACCCCGACCTACCCCTGTAACAGTGCACGTGACCTAGCCAGAATGAGGGAGACGTCATTAAGGGGATGGATGCAAATTCATAGAGAGAGGGGTATTGATAACTTGGACGGTCAGTGTGATTGTTTTGTTTGTAAGAGAGGCAGGCGTGTTGTTCTTGCTGATCGTGACCCTGTAGCGAACCCCGGGCAAGTTGGGGTAACTCCTCTCTTGTCATGTAAAGCTAGGATCTGGCTCTGGATCATTCGCAACTCGAACGGGCAGCAAGGGGGTAGACCAGAAGAGGGCAGGAGCATGCCAGCAGGAGCCCTCTGAGTCGCATTCACCATCTTCTTCCCCCAAAGAGAATCTTCAAGCCTCGATGCTCTGAATTTCAGGCCTTACTCGGTTTCCTCAGGCCGTTCATCCACGTAAAGTTCCGACCACGAAGACAACCAAGGCATCACAAGAATTGGCTCCGGGGCTGCCAGACCACAACTTTCGTGCCAGCAGCTGCTTGTGGCCAATGGGAATGCGTCTCCTCCTTCAGTGATAATACGAACTCGCGCACAAAGGAAGGCGCAGGACGGACGAGGAGATTGATCAAGAAACCTCGAGGACGCTGCCTCATCCCCACCATGGGGTTGCGTGTGACAACATGGAATGGTGTGTGCTAATCCCTGTACCCTTGCCTTGCCCTTTTTCTCGTTCTGATGGCTGACTATCCTCTCTCGTAGTGAACGGTATCAGGTATGTGATCATCAATCAGTCAACTGCAAAGAGGCGAGACATGGGGGGGGGGGGGAAACACAGCTAGGCTGTCCTGGAGTAGTGCCGAGTTGCGCTCACATTACGCACGTCATGGTCACAGGAATCCGTTCGGATACGCGCCGTGGAACCAGAAGAGGTCATTTCAGGCCATGTTTGACATCCTCGAGGCCGATATTGTCATCATGCAGGAGGCCAAAATCCAGCGCAAAGACTTGACCGATGACATGGTGCTGGTGACGGGATGGGATGTGTTTTTCAGTCTGCCGCGGGACAAGAAGGGTACGTATATATCTCCCTGCTTTGTTGCTGCCAGCATTTTTTTTTTTCGCCTTTATTGTTGACCGTGATGTTGATCCCATCGCAGGTTACTCTGGGGTGGCCATCTATACCCGGAACGCAAAGTGCTGTCCCATCCGCGCCGAGGAGGGCATCACGGGCGTTTTGTGTCCGCCCAAGTCCACCACTAGGTTCCGAGATCTGCCCGAGGACCAGCAGATAGGAGGTTACCCCCGAGAGGACCAGCTGCTTGGGATTGTCGATGAAGCCACCCTCGACTCCGAGGGCCGTACAGTCATCCTCGAGTTCCCCGCTTTCGTCCTCATTGGTGTCTACGTCCCCGCGACCCGAGATGATACGAGGACGGACTTCCGAATCGGCTTCCTCACCGCCCTCGACGCCAGGATCCGCAACCTCGCCGCCATGGGCAAGCAGGTCATCCTCGCCGGCGACCTTAATATTATACGGACCGACATCGACACCGCCGGCTGCGCTGACCAGCTGCGCAAAGAAGGCATGACCCTGGACGACTTTTTGTCGACACCCTCGCGCCGCCTCTTCAACCAGCTCCTCTTTGAGGGTCAGGTCGTCGGCCAGAGGGACCAAGGGCGCGAGCAGCCAGTCCTGTGGGACATGACCCGGGCCTTCCACCCAGATCGCCAGGGTATGTTCACCTGCTGGGAGACCAAGAAGAACGCGCGACCTGGCAACTTTGGCAGCCGGATCGACTACATTCTCTGCACCGCCGGCATGAAGGACTGGTTCGAGGACGCCAACATCCAGGAGGGCCTGTTGGGATCTGATCATTGCCCTGTCTTCGCTGTCATGGCCGATCGCGTGCGCCATGGGGCCGAGAACGACTCTCACATTGCCGACCTCGTGAATCCAGTAGGCATGTTCAAGGAGGGCCGGCGCCTGCGGGAGTGGACCACCAGGGACCTGCTGCCGCAGTCCGCCAAGCTGCTAGACGAGTTTGACCGCCGCCGCACTATCAAGGACATGTTCGCCAAGAGGCCTGCCGCCCCTTTCAAACCCATCCAGCAACAGCCCGCAACGGAGCCTGGCGTCGAGTTCAGCATTGATTTTGGCAAGTCATTCTACATACAGGTCCCGTTTACAGCAACAGCCCCTGTACTTTCGTCGACGCCCTCTGCAACTCCGCCCCCCCTGACCGACTTCTTCTTCTCCTCCTCCTCCTCCTCCTCCTCCTCCCCATCCCCCACCACCATGAGCCGCACGCCGTCCAATGCCACCCCCCTTCCCCGAATAACTCGTGCTCCGCCACCACCCCCTTCTAAGCGTGCCGCACCAAACATGACCAGCCAGTCAGTCAAGAAGCCCAAGACGACAGTGGTGACCAAGGATAGAGGCAAGGCCGCCCCCGGCCCTTCACAGAGCAGTTTGAGAGGCTTCTTCAAGCCCAAGACGCCAGCACTGGACACCATCGACGAGGAGACATTGGACGGGGAGGCAAGCGGGGAGGGGAAAGGGGAAGAAGAAGAGGGAGGAAGCCCGGCGCGAGCGAAGGCACCAGCAGCACCGTCACAGGCAGCTTCTTCTCCAGTCAAGAAGACATCTATCTCAACGTCGCAGCTGGACGGCATCGGTCGTAGCCCTGGCCCTGGCGGCCTGCCTCACGATGCGCTGGCTGACGGAAAGCAGGAGATGGCCGCGGCGATGGCGACAGCACCAGATGAAGACAAGGTCTTTGATCCTATCGAGTCCAAAGAGTCATGGTCTAAGTTATTGGGCAAAAAGCGGCCAGCGCCGTTGTGTGAGCACGGCGAACCCTGCATCAGCTACGTGACCAAGAAGCCTGGCGTTAATACTGGTCAGTTCCCCTTCCCCCGCCCCCCCCCCCCCAAAAGAAAAGAAATGCCCACCAAGACAAGATAGCATCTTGACATTTGCTCGTCGTCACGCCCAACTCCAGCTACATGGATCCCGAGCTAACCCACCTCCTCCCCCTCCAGGCCGCTCCTTTTACATGTGCTCACGACCGCTGGGACCCTCGGGACAAAAGGAGAAGGGATCATCATCACAGTGGCGGTGTGGGACATTTATCTGGCAGTCGGACTGGAAAGGATCATGATGGGAGACAAGTCTACCGTTATAGTCATAGTTATTAGCGTGACCCCCAAAGAAAAAAAACCATTGTTGGTTTACAATAACCTTTTTCTTTGATTGCTGTCTAGGTGCTACCTAATTTCTTTGGGGGCCAGACCGATAAGAACATCTTCCAGGAAACCTCACACCCTCACCGGTGGAGGAACCCTGTGCCCTTTTTTCCTCGGGATTCCCCTCCGTGTCCACCACCCAAGTTGCCATTTGTCATCATCATAAGTATGGTTTTGTTTTGTTTGCTCGTTCGGTGCCGACGAGAGAACCAAGTCTTCCAGGAACAGCACACACACACACCCCTCACCGACGGTGATCCTGTGCCCCTCACAATTGCCTCAGCCCCACCATCATTACCATTTGCCACCCAGTGTCAAACCTGTCCATTAACCATACCAGCCATTTTGGCCATAGCACCCCCCCAAACCCGTTCCGCCGAATCCATCCCTTGGTCCCATGAGGGACTTGCCGCCAGTACGATGACGGCAGAGACGCAGGAATCCGAACCAATTTTCCCCCCCCCCCGGGGAAAGGTGCCACCTGTCCCCCTCCCCCCCCCCCCCCCCATACTCGAAAAAGAAAAAAGAAAGGCCAATGTAGCTCGGTTCAGAAGTCCCAGGCTGCGTGTAGCTCCTCCACATTACTCGTCCTTTTGGCGAGACTTGGGCCCCCAGCCCGGGCCCAAGTGCAAGGCTGCCTCCCGTACCTGGTCGGCACATGCCGTGATGTAGGAAAATAGAAAGGGAAAAAAAGGAAAGGAAAAGATAACGTGACAGAGTCGGCGGAGAGGTCGCCATTTGTCGTGCTTGCTGTCAAACCGTAACCGTGTTGCGGATTTGGGGGGAAGTCGGTGTGGTGTCGAATAGCGGGATGCAAGAATATTCCGATGCCGTAGGGTTGTTTGGGACTTTGAATTCAGTGATGCGTTGCTCCAATCTCCTGAAATGACTATTGAGTGATGAAAGCAAACATGACTTCTGGAGATTTGGTCGATAACAGGACAGCCTGCGTCGAAGGCTGGCAGGCTTACTCCTCGTCATCGTCCTCGGTGTAGTCTGACTGACTGGTGGTCGACAGTGTGTCATTCGACTGCGCGTTGGTAGACTTGTCGACATTCTTTTTGGCACGGCGTTTAACCTCAGACGACTTGCGAGGATGGTACTTGTAGTCGGGGTGGGCTATCATGAAAGCAGCCTTGATGTCGGCAGCCTTCTTTCGGTAGGCGTCACGGACTTCCTCGCTCTCGCTCTGCCACTGACGTCCGATCTTCTTGGCTAATAATTGTTAGTTTTGAACTTACTCCCGATGGATTGGGGAAGATAATGGGCTGGAGTCACTTACAGATCTCGATGTTGGATGCGTCAGGGTGGGCCTCAGAGACAGTCCGGTGGTGAGCAGCACGGTAGATAATAAAGGGGTTAGGGGGACGAGGAATGTGATCTGTGGTGTTCTCGGTCGAAGCAGGAGTGGAAGCTTCAGTCGAAGCATCACCGGTGGTCAGGTGCTGCTGCTGGGGTGGCAGAGGAGGCATGGCTCCTCCATTGTTGAGGAAGAAGGCGATTCCTGCCCAGGTCTGGGTTCCATTGAGCTGGAATGTAGGAATCACACTGCCCTGTGCAGCTCGAAGAGCGTAAGCTCCAGTGAAGGGGTCGAACTGTTGGAAACCGCGCAGAGGACCGATGAAAAGTCTGTTCGGAGCGATGCCGTCTCCGACAATAAGAGTGTCCTCGCCAATGACCTCGCTGCAGCAGCCAAAGTCAGTTGAAGCTCTTGAGAATTGGAGATATAGGTAGAAACGACTTACTCCATAATCGCGGTGAAAGTAAATTTCTGGTGAATGTCGAGAGCCTCGAACTCAGGAGCATCGAAGGCTACAGTCTTGGACAGGTTGAAAGCATGGAACTGCAATCCAATGGTATCGATGAAGTCAAGAAAGAGCTGACCATTGCCCTCGCTGTGGGCAATCGCGCCGTTCATGGCAACCTGATCCACAGCAGTCGACAGAGTGGGAGACATGTGAAAACATGGCTCGCGACCGCCAGCCACGGCAGCCTGACTCTCGTTGAGGAGGAAAGTGCAGAGGTCAGCCATGATTGAATGAGGTTGAGGACTGGGTTCTGATGTAAAGATGACAGATGACTCGAGATGATGGTTGATGTATTGAGAAGGGGAAAGATTGAACTACAAAGGGAGGATAGAAAGAAAGTTGACTTCGAGGGTAGAAGGATACTTGACTTTGAGGGTAAGAAAAGAAAAGGAAACGAAGCTTGGAAGCCGACGGAAGACAATGGAGTGGTAGAAAAGGGTCGAACAATCCCAGTTTGTGGCGTGGGGTAGGCTTGGTGAAAGGAAAGGGGAAAGTTGCAGCTTTTTGTCAAAGGAATATTCAATTGATTTAGTGGGAAGATGCGTAAGTTCCACTACGATCAATAGATGGGTCATTTACATTCGAAAACATGGGATAAAAAAAATAAACAATTAGAAAACCCGATGGGCAACACGCACCAAAACAACGCAGGATACCTGTAGGACAACAATATACTCCGAGCATTCAACCATCAATATTCTTTCATCAAGAATCATTCACCTTGGAGCATGTCGGTATTGAATATTTGATTCCGCTGTTACCGTTCAGTCATTTCACTTTGGAGTTTCCTTGTTACCGGGAATGTTGGAAGGGCTTAGTACATAAAGTAATCATCTACGCGCCAAAGCCATCCATCAAGTCGCGGTACTTAACTCCTATCCTTCCCCAACACATCAAATATCTTTGACTGTTGCAAGACTTATCTCTTGACACATAAAAATCCAGAAATACAACAACTTTCAGTTTCTGTCCACCCTCGCCCCAAGATGTCTGGTCAACCACTACGCGTCATGGAGTTCAAGAAAGATATGAACTGCCCTGCTGTCTGCCCTGAGACTCATGGCGAGAATGGAGAGTTTCTCCGCCCTCCCACACCTTCCACAGAGCCCGCTGTTATCAAAATGGTGATCATACGTCTTATTCCCATCGATGAAGTTGGTGCACCAGATGCCAACCCAGAGAATCTGCCTGACGTTACCGATCTGTACCCATATTTTGGACCCAACTTCCGCGTTCTTCTGGAGAGCGAGAGCGATTTTATCATGCCTAACGAGAACGGCACTGACCAAATGGCCCAGACCCAGATTATGGGTAAGTCGCACATCACTACACAGCTTGGAGGCCAGTTCCAAGTCATATTGCTAACTGCATTTGCCAGACAACGGCCACAGCGACAACATTCGGAACATCGCGGATCTCAACCTCATGTTGGAGGACTTCAAAATGACTGAGGGGCTCGGTCATATGGCTGAGAGCGATGGCAATGCTGGCAAGTCACCCATAATTCTAACTTTTCAGGCTATTTTCAAGTTGAGTTACTGACTGGAGTTTTCCAGGCGACACCGGCGGCCACAATACTCAAGACATCAGTAACCTGAACCTGCAGCTGACTGACTTCAACATGGCTGAGGAGGCCGAGGCCCGCTTCCACAGTTCTGATGCTCTCGATGACGACAACTTCAATGCCTCCCTCCTCCAGTAGCGCACGGGTGTCACACCACTGACTCGGAAGAGAATTGGGTTTGCACTAGACATCAAGGGAATGGGAAATGGGCTCTTGATCCTGCATGGGGTACTGCTGTGGACGGTGGAACTACTGAGACTCGCACTACATAGGCAGCAAGAACGACAAAAAGGAGCACTCATGGCTGGGGTGATGCTACTATGGCGATGATTACCCTGGAGGAGATTTTCATAGCATCCATAGTACTCTGTCTACTGCCAAAAATTCAGACACTGTTAAGGTTTCAACTAGAAGGTGTCTCTAGTTTCGGTGATCCACCTTCACTTTGGCTGTGTCGAATAACAAACCGGCGACAGGAAAAAGAGAAGGCGCCGGTGGAGGGCAACCGATGCGTCACTAAAAGGACTGCTTCAGCGGCTCCATTTGAGGGAGACCTGCCCTTTCCCTGCACCTCGCCCGCCTTGACATTAGGGGGGCTACTTTCTTGTTGTGGTAAAATTGAGTTCTTTGTCTTTTTTTTGTTCTTTTTGTTCTTTGGTCTTTGGGGACTAGGAAAAAGGTGGAAAGCGGGACGAATGTGTAAAGCCTTCTTCCCACGCCCTTCCTTAGTAGGAGAACATGTCACGATGATTGAAGAGTTGAGGTCAAAATGCGGCTGAAAATGGGCCTGCAGGGTCCACCTCCAGGGGCTCCGCAAGCAGAAGCTTACAGGCTGGGGACTTAGCCACTGCCCCCGTCCCAAGTGGAACGACCCCAGCGCCGCCAGACTACCTGAACCCGTCCGCTTCGGTTGAAGCCAAAAGCTAGAAGAAGCTCAGTAGCGGGCATCCCATCGTCTTCAAGCTAAAAAGGTTAAATCTGTTGTTTCTCTATGCCATCTCTCAGGCCTAAATGTGGTGTTTTCTCCGACAAAGGGCCCCATCTCGTTAAGCTACCAACTACGGGGGCGATTTACCCCAGAATCCCCGTTGATCCCAAGCCAAACCAGACGGACCGACCAGACTAGACCAGAACCACGGGCTCTAGACGAGGGGGGGGGGGGGGGGAAGACAAACCTTCAACGGACACAGACACAAAGACAGGGCATAGAGGAACAGAGAAGAGAGACAAGAGAAAGAGAGATTTGGGGTGGTGGATGGTGTGGACAAGCCTGGGATGGACTTTCAAGAAAAGAAAACCCCTCCCCGCTACTAAGCAATGTTCACCCGCAAGCAGCCAAGTCATCTTCTCCCTTTGAAAGCCTTGTCGTCGCCATGGCACCCCAAACTTTACCCTGTATCGACTGCCAAGATGCTCACAAGGTCAGCAAATCGTGAACTGACAGGTCAGCCACGTCTCACGATTGCCGAGAGCCTGTAAGGAAGACGACCTAACCCTGTGGATAGCGATGTTGAGACGGGCTCTCTCGCCTCACATCCCCTACTTTTCTTCCTTTTCTTACTTGCATCGCATACTACAGGCCCCCAACGCATGCAAACAAGGTCACAGAGCCCACACCAAGGCTTTCTCTGTCTCCCATCGAGGATTGACAAGAGAGAGAGGGGAGAGAGAGCGCGGCGGCACGAGGAGGGCTGGGGCCGGAGAAAGACCCCCATGACTACCCCTCCTCCTCCAAGGAAAGCGCTGCAAGCACCCCTGCCCACACACACCCTGTCGTCGACCAAAAGCCGGACGGACTATCGAGCGCTCGAGGCCGAAAACTCCGGTCGTTGCTCAGATGTACATAGACTGGAGGTCAAAGATACGTGCTCAGATGTACATAGACTGGAGGTCAAAGATACATGCTCAGATGTACATACACTGGAGGTCAAAGATACATGGCACCTATTGAAGGTACATTTGCGTAAGGGAGGGGGGGGGGGGGGATAACAAATCCAAGACAGCATAAACGAGAAAAAATTTTGCTCAGGCAGACATGCATCGGGCCATTGGACGTGTAACCCCCCCCCCCCCTCCTCCTCTCCTCCGGCTCGAAAACATGGGTTTTTTTTGTGACGTCGACGACAAAACGTGCATGTAGTCTCGTATTCTTGCAGGGAGAGAGAGTAGCGAGGGGGTGTGTTTGTAATGGAGGGGGGAGGGGGGGGGGGTAGCAGGTACGGTGGTACCTCTGGTACATTGGGATACAAGAAAGCTTCCAGACCGCGGAGAAAGAGAGGTTGGGTAGAGAAAAAGAAAAGAAAGAGTAAGCTGAAACTCGTCACATTTTCACATGGCACAGCATTCGGCCTGAAGACGGGAAAATTTTGTTGTCACATTCCGTCCAGGTTTTTCGCAAGTGCTGAAAATTAGGGCGAGGTCGAGATTGCTCCAGATGCAGCCAGCAAGCCACACACGAAAACAAGACTGGACTGTGAGTGGCCTGATTGATGATGATCATCCCAGACCCCCCCCTTCTTCTTCCTCCTCCTCTCCACTTCCCGCCCATCCCAAGCTGCCGCCCTTCCTTCCCCCCCCCCCCCCCTCTCCCGTCGTTTCATTTTCCCGCGTGTAGAAAAGGACCATGCATTGCATTAGCTTTTGTGGCGAATGTCCTTTTCTAGTGTGGTTGCATGCATTTTTTGTCTTCCAAACGGACCACGACAAAAGAAAGAATAAACAAGGGGCTCTCTCTCTCTCTCTCTCTCTCTCTCTTCCCGTGCGTGCATGTTCTCGTATTATGCCGTCTGTTGTCACACCTTGGGCCGCTATGCAGATGAAGAGGCAGGGTTTTGATCGCATCATATTGACCAGTGATGATGAACCCGATAGATCACGATGCTAATTCTTGGACCCAGACAGCTGAGAAAACAAGCTAGCGACTGGGGCTAGACCGCCATTCTTAGCGGATCGCTGCCCGGCACAAAAAGGGAGGGAGGGGGGGGGGGGGGACTGAGACACGACACGGCTTGTGGCAAGGTGTGTCACAGTGCCCAAAGGCGATGGCGGATATCTGCTGCTAGCTTTCTTTCTTTTCTTTTTTTCTTTCTTTTTTCTTTTCTCTCTCTCTCTCTCTCTCTCTCTCTCTCTCTTTTCTTGAGACATCCTTGATCTTCCTGCTGATGATCCCTTTGCTCCCAAGGGCACATGCATGATGATGGCTGATCAGGCTGCGAAACCTCCTCCCTGGCCCGGAACCACAATATCCCAGCTCCCCCTAGAGGGTGGTTGGAGCAGTGAGACATAATAAAACAGACCAACGACGCCACGCACTATACATCACCGCCCTCCCTTCCATCGGAATGGTCTTCTTTTTCTTTCTTTTGAATGTGTGGTGCTAGGCCAAAGGGGAAGGTCTCACCGAGCTGGCTGTCTTTCTGGGGGAACACAAGAGTGTGCTCACCTCTTCGGGGCAATTCGCATGGAAAAAGGGGAGGAGGGGGGGGGGGGGGAGAGAAGAGACAATACAAGGTATGCATCATCTGAGGCAGGGAGAACGAGGGCGGGCGCCTAAGTGCATGGCTGGGCTGCGAAAAAAAGCATCATCGCTCCTGCCATTTTGCCCCCTTCCAACATCTCGCTTGCTCGGTGACCCACTCTGGTCGCCTTGCCTTTCAACTCAGCGTCTAATCCGATGCGACGTAACTTGGGACGCCTCCTGGTGGGAAAGAGGGACACCCCGCAGTCGGCGTCACGCATAACGCACGTACACGCGATGCAACAACAACCACAAGCAATCACCTCCAGGCAAGGCGGGCGCCTTCTCACAACGAGAAACACGAGCTCCGGGTCATCGTCTGGTCCAGAGACCAGTCGCGTTTGTCCTCTTCCTCGTCCTCTTTCCTCTTCTTCTCGTTCTAGCCAGTCCCCCCTCCCTCTGGCTCCTCTTTTGTTGGGGGAAAAGACAGACCACTCACTCTACCGTCGATCAAGAGCAGCAACAATAAGTGGTAACGCCGACGGCAGTGGTGACACCAACCAAGACAAGCAAGACAACAACAACGCTGACAACATTCACCACAACGGAATACAAGACAACGTTGACAACAAGACTGTCAACCACTCTTTTCACCAACACCACAACAACAACAACAACAACAACATCGTCCTCTTCTTCACCTTAACCCACATCCTGTATTAGCAATGGCCGGCCCCTCCAACACCACCAATACCACCACCACCATCACCAACTCTGCCACTGTCTATGCCATGCCCGCCTCTACTCTTGTCATTGGATTTACCTCCTCCAGCGTTTGCTACGATACAGATCCTCCAGGGTCATCTCCAGAGGAGCAGCAGCAGCAGCAGCAGCAGCAGCAGCAGCAGCCGCAGCCAGGCGTCACCAACCTGCGGTGGTTCCTCCAGCACCGACATCATCCCCCCAACAACAGTGGCAGCAACAACAACAACAACAACGACGACGACAGCAACAACAACAACAACAACCCCCCCCCTAACACAACTCCATTCCCCACCAGTCCCGCAGCAAACAATAGCAGCAGCAGCAGCAGCAGCAGCAGCAGCAGCAGCAGCAGCAGCGACAGCAGCGACGACAACAACAACAACAACAACAACGCCCCTCAGCACCCTAACACAACTCCATTCCCCACCAGTCCCCCAGCAAGCAGCAGCAGCAGCAGCAGCAGCAGCAGCAGCAGCAGCAGCGACAGCGGCGACTCATCTGGTCCTGCGCCGGACGTGCCACCTCACCCGGAGCAATTGTTTGGATCGTCTTTCCAGCAAGGTTCTTCCTCCCGGGTTCATGGGGGCGTGGATGCCATGCAGCAGACAGACGACGCCTTCTCCCCCGCCTCCCCCGCCTCCCCCCATGGTTGTGAACCCACGCCTCCCTCTTCCGGTCATGCCAGTCCTTCCCTCTCAGATACTGGCTCCCCAGCTGGACCTGAAGCCGAACCTTCTGGCGGCCAAGATAATGAGGGACCTGACGGTGTGAGCCCTTGAGCTTCCCAAATTTTGACACGCCATAACCACCCGCCACCCGCCGGTGAGTCCCTGCACACCCGCGTCTTCTTATCGATACAGTCACATATTGACATCTCATCCATTAGAGGACACAACAATTTTTCACGAGTAGGCCAGTCTGCCACGTGACAAGGCGGAATGCGGCTGTGGTGACACACAAAAGGTTTTGCTATGTGGGTTTTTAGTTGAACCCCTTTGGAACTTTGTTGGAAGGCCGGCCCCCTGTCATGTAAAGTGGTGTTGTCAGTTTGTCCTGCACAATTGCTTCACTGCCCTCGGCCGCGGGATGTGCACCTCTTTCGTCCCCTCCCTCCCCTTCAAGTTCTTGAATTGGGTCCGTCGTTGTCGTTAAATTGCTTGTCATTGATGACAGATGATGATGAATTTCTTGCCCTTGACTTCTCCTTCAAATGTTTTCAAATTTCCCATGGATTGATTGGTCTTGACGCGGATGGTGAAGTGTCTGATATCGGTGCCTCATTTATGGCCATGTTATCTTCACTTGGATCTCCTTCATTCCTTGGACAGATTTGTTGTCTCGAGGGGATCACCCGTCTCGGCCGATCACCTTTAATGCTAGGGAGGACGGTCAAGTTCCGCGGAAAGGTATGATGGTCGGTCAGCTTGGACCAGAGAGCGAGGGCGGGCTTGGTTGATCAAGTTGACTCGGGAGCCTCCCTCAATCCCCTCCGGGTGCACACTTGAACAGAGAGTTCCTAGCTCAAGGTGACTTTGTTTGCATTTGGCGTTCGTTCTTTTTATAGTATTCTCTTTGTCCGTGTGTCTCTGTTGGCCCTATCTGCCCTGCGTTGGGATTGCTGGCGTCCGAGGCAAGAGGATCGATGCCTTGGGGGGGTAGTAGAGTCATTGAAGGTACCAAAATTGGAATGCCACGTATTGTTAGCTATGAATTCATGACCAACGAGCCAAAAAGTCCCCCCTGCTTGTCAGCGTGCAATGATCTGGTCCCTACTACCCCTTTTACCTCTTCGTGGGTGGGGGTTAGTAGGAGTTACTCATAGTAGGGCGAATAGCAAGCAGCACCAGCAGCAGCAGCACCAGCAGCAGCACCAGCAGCAGCACCAGCAGCAGCACCAGCAGCACCACCACCAGTAGGAACAAAAGTAGTAATAGTGATATGATGTGGTTCAATACAGCATACTGGATAATTGATGGTACCTCCCTCTCCCTTCCTCTCTCACACACACATGCTCTCTCTCTCTCTCTCTCTCTCTCCATTCACTCTCATTATTCCTCTTGGTAGGATATCTTGCGCATCTCGCCCAGGCGATGTCGTGCTGCCCCAAGGGCGTTCTCCAGCTGCAATATCTCGACCTGCTGTTCCATCTCGCGCACCTTGAACTCGTGCGCGCCGAGCTTGCCATAGTCGACCTGCTCCTCCTCGCCGCCCAGGCGGTCCTTGATCATGGCCTGCACCTGGCGGACCAGCGACCGGCAGGCGGCCCCGACGGCCTTGGAGGCCTGCTCAAGGGCCTCCTGGTTCTTGCTCATGAAGCCGGCCTTGACGCGCGAGGCGGCGACGAGCTGGGCAGTAGAGGCGGCCACGTCGTTGGAGGCCACGATGAGCTGCTCGGGGCTGTTGCGGCCCGAGAGCACACCGTCGGCCGTCTCGATGAGCGTGTTGGTCGAAGTGGCGACGGCCTTGGCGGCCGAGAGGAGACCCTCGGTCCAGCGGTTGTTCTTCTTGTAGAAGGCGGTGCGCGATGATGAGCCGCGGCCGGCCTGGACAATCTCCTCCTGGGTGGCACTGGCGGCCTTGATGAGACGCGCGATGGCGTCGGTGATGGCCAGTGCGGCGTCGAGAATGGAGTCATGAACCTTGAGCTCGTAGGTCGAGTAGCCGTCGCGCGGCTTGTTCTTGAGCTTGGCGAGGCGCGCCGCCGCCGCCGCGATGGCATCGGCGGCCTTGCTCAGCTCCGACTCGACCAGAGCGCCGAGGTCGCCCTTGTCGGCGAGCTTGCCGAACCCGGGGGCGAAGGACTCGACGAGCCTGTTGAGCTTCTGGAGGTTGAGCTGGACGTCGTTCATGCTGTTGACGACCACGTCCGTCTTCTGCATGGGGTCCATGCCCTCGAGGCGGAAGCTCTGGAGGCCGCGGAAGAACTTGACGGTGGCCTGGGCGGACTGGCGGGCGCCGCCGATGAGGGCGTCGCCCTTCTTGTCGTCGGTGGCGAGGCGGGTGAGGCCCTTTGTGTTGTTGCAGACGTCGGCGATGGAGCTCGCGTAGACGTTGACAGCCTTGATGAGGTCGGCATAGGCGGCACTGGGCCCGTCGGCGATGAAGTTGTTGAAGGCGGTGGCGAACTCGACGGCGCTGGCCGAGGCCTTCTCGATCTGCGAGAGCACGTACGAGGGCGAGGCATTCTGGTTGCCGGCCTGCATGGTGGAGTCGAGTTCATACATGGCATCGTCGACGCGGGCGACGCCGCTCTGGAGCACCGAGTCGATAATCTCGTTGATCTTGTCGAGGTTGGCCGCGACGAGCGCGTCGAGCTGGCCGTCGAGAGCCGTGTCGGCATCGCCCTGGCCCGCCCTGAGCTCGTTGAGCTCGACGAGGGCCTGGTCCATGCCGGCCTTGTACACCTCGAGCTCCTCCTCCTTGTCGCGCAGGAGCTGCTCAAGGTCGGCGCCGCCGCTGCGGATCCTATCCTGCGCCTCGTCGAGGGCGCGGGTCTTGTCGCGGAGGGCCTGCTCGAGGTCGGCCATCTCGCGGTTGTAGCGGGCGAGCATGGTGGAGAGCTCGGTGCCCTTGGTGCGCTCGGCCTTGTCGGCGCGGTCGAGGGCCATGCGCAGCTCGCGGCGCAGCTTCTCGACCTCGTCCTTGTTGGCGCCGCCCAGGCGATCCTTCTCGTGGAGGGCGCGGTCGCGCTCGCGGATCATGTCGGCGAGCTCGAGGTTTTTGGTCTTGATCTCGCGCTCGAGCTTCTCGCGGCGGTCGACGGCCTCCTGCGCCGAGGCGGCCTTGAGCTGCGCCGACTTGAACTTTTGGAGGAGGTCGAGGTGCTCGTGGCGGAGCTGGGAGTAGAGCTTGGCGAGGGCCTCGTACTTTGTGCGCCAGGTGTTGACCTGCTCCTGGAGGGCGCGGACCTGGTCGTCCTTGCTGCCCATCTGCTGGCCGTAGCTGGCCTGGAGCTGCTGCAGCTCGCCCTCGAGGCTCCTGACACGCTGGTCGTACTGCTGCAGCATGAGCTGGTCGCGCTCGTACTGAGCGCGGGCGTTGAGGTTCTCCTGCTCGAGCTCGGCGAGGCGGCCCTGGGTGAGGGACTGGGCCTGCTGGGCGCGGAGGGCCTCGGCCTGCAGGCGCTGCTGCTCGGCGAGGCGGCGCTGCTGGTCTTCAAAGTCGCGCTGGGCCTGGAGGGCGGCCTGCTGCTGGGCCTGCTGCTGGGCGAGCTGCTGGGCCTCGAGGACACGCTGCTGCTCCTCGTACTCGCGGTTCTGGCGGTCCAGCTCGCCCTTCCAGAACTCGGAGATCTCATCGGGCTCCTCAGCCTTCGGGGGCTGCTGGGGCGGGGTCGGGGCGCGCTCGATCTCCTGCTTGGGTCGGTCGGGCAGGCGGGGGGCGGCGCCCTCTTCGGCGAGCAGGTTGGGGGGGTCCTGGGGCAGCTTGGGGATGGTGACAAGGCTGGTGAGGTAGCGGAGGTTGGAGCACTCGTAGTAGAACTTGACGAGGCGGTAGTGCTGGGCGTCGTACCGGGCGCGGAGGGGCTCAAGGGCCTCTACGTCGCCCGTCATGGAGTGCATGGCGCGCAGCATGCTGGTAATGAACTTGTAGATGCCGTAGCTCTCTGCGACGAGGGGCACGAGGGCCGAGATACGGCACTCGTTGTTGCCGACGTTGCGGAAGTGGGAGAAGATGAGCTTCTGAAACTGGTCGATCTTGTCCTGGAGGGTCATGAGGTCGGTGATGGTCTCGTAGCCCTCGTTGGGGTCGTTGATGGCCTTCAGGCTGAGGTATTCCTCGTATTCGAAGGTGCCGTTGAACTCGGGGTGCTGCTGGTGGAACGAGAGCTTGGCGAGGAGGAAGTAGACGTACTCGCGGATGAGGGGCCCGTATCCGCGCATGCCCTCGCCACCCATGCCGCGGTTGAGGCTCTCTATCCATCCGCGACTGGCGAGGGCCTCTCGGATGACGTGGGGGTGGCCCTCCTGGAGAACCTTGTGGATAGTGATGAGGGCTTTAAACGTCTGGACCTCGTCGGCGAGGATCGGCTGCCTGTTTGGAGGGGGGGCGGGCGGAAAGGAGGAGAATGACGGTTAGCGACGGACGGTGCGAAAGGAGGAGGAGCAGGAGCAGGACGGTCATACACTTTCAGGCCGGCCCAGAAGGACTGGCCCGACTTGTGATCCCATGTGTAGACGATGCAGCTGCGCACATGTTTTCGCTTTGGGGCTGTTTCGTCTGGGCTGGTTGCCTTCTTGATATTGATGGCGAGCTCCGTGTCGGACCTGCGATGACGACCACCGGGTCAGCATGTCCGAGAAGCAAAAGAAGGTAGATGCGCGCCAGCAGACGCACTTTGTATGGTCGAGGCTGCGGATGGTGGCCATCTTTGCCAGCGGCCACCGGGCGGAGGGGGGCCTTGCGGGGCTTTGCTGCGTTTGCCAAGGGGGGGGGGGGCGGTCACGGATGGATGGATGGATGGAAGGACTCGGCTAGGAGGGGAAGAGGAGGTATCTTGGAACGAGAAGATGGCGGGTGTCGAGAAAGACCAGAGAGAGGAGGCCAAGGAGAGGATGAGGGGTCGGTCGGTCGAGATGCACAGAGAGACAGAGAGAGAATCGGCGCAGGATGGCGGAAGACGAGAAGGAAAAGAAGAAGAAGAAGGAAAAAGATATTGATATTGTCGTCGTCGTTGCCGTCGTCGTTGCCTGACGTTGAGAAAGGGCAATTCGCGATGGTGACAGTACGACGAGGAAAGGGACGCCGGGTGCTGCTTGTTGCTCCTGCTGCTGCCGCTCTGCTGCAAGGTCACGTCAGGGGCTAGATTAGAGGTTCAGTTATGCACGTACCACTTTCACCTTGTCTGTTCCAGAAAAAGCTGTGCTGCTGCGGCCCAATCCGCCCCTGGCCCCGGCTGTGTTCCCTTCCCATCTGGCCAATCATATGCCCGGGAATGCGCCCAGGTTTTGGCACTTTGCGTGCAAACAATCTTGAACAAGAAAGTTGTCGTCGTCGTCATCAGGAAAGTCATGAGTCACGTTGGATTTCTGTGAGTAAAGGAAGATGGAGAAGCGACAGGAAATAGTGATGGGAATGAATCTCTATTCAGCCATTTTCAGATGTGCAAGGTATTGCAGGCATGTTTCAGTAGCCAAGGCGTAGTGTCTCTGGGGGGACAAAGGCCGACGCGCGGACCAACAAGTGCCGGGGGAGGGACGGCCGAGCGCGGTGTGATCCCTGATTGTTTAGGAGATTGCACCGTTGGAAGCACACGACCGGAGAAGGCCGTGCCGGACGACTTTTTTTTTTTTCTTTTTTTTCTTTTTGCTTGTAGAGTGACTTGCCTCGAGTACGGGGTGCATGAGCATGAGGACTGGCCTATCAATCGCAAGAATCTCCCGATGAGCATCTGTGCCATTTTCTATCTCTTGCCGTCGTATCCGGGTGCATATGGGCATGGCATGAACGGTGTTACAATTACTTTCCTGGACAGGCAATACGATCCCGATATAGATCATAGCAGACAAATAGACTTTCAGGCTGGCATGGAATCTCCAGGCCAGAATGTTGGTAAAGTGCAGGGGATTGGGGGCGGGGGTGGGTGCAGACGACGACGACGACGACGACGACGACGACGAAGAAAGAAGAGCATCATGATGATGATGATGAGGAGGAGGAGGAGGAGGAGGAGGAGGAGATCGTCACACGCATTCTTCGGCATGTTCATCCGTCCACATACCTGTACTTGTACCATTCCCTGCCCCTTTCCCTCCTCCTCATCAATCTGTCATCTCATCATGATTTTGATTGATTTTTTTTTTTAGTCTTCTTCTTTCCATAACCTTGTCGCGATGTTTCGTCCGAACAGATGGACTGGAGGGTGGAGTAATGTACTATCGGCCTGAGACGATTGGGCTGGAGGAACCACCTGTTGTTGTTGTTGTTGTTGTTTTGCTGTTGTCGGGTCGTGCTTTTGCACCAAACCATGTCAGCTACACTGAAGAGCTGAATTATATAAGAACACAATTCGTTACCACTAGATAGAACTACTAGACATAGCACTTCAGTCGTCAATCTAAGTATTCACTTGTCATATACTTGAATAGCCCCAAAGGCAGTAAAGCACTCGCACAGTTTGTTCAACTATATTTCCGTATTCAGGGATTAACACTTTGACACCGCTCTTGTTAGCATAAACCTTTCGTATACTTAGGAATCTTCGGATAACTGCAGTGCTCATTACATGTTGCTTCGTGATCTGGGCCCGCTCTCTCTCTCTCTCTCTCTCTCTCTCTCTCTCTCTCTCTCTCTCCACGCAAACCGCACAGCCCCGTTTTTATGCCTGCCCAACGCGCCCTACTTCTGCCCTTCACCATCAATTTAACCAACCTTTGAGAAGCACGTGAGGCAGGTCTCAGCTCCTCATCAGCCTTCACCCCCTCGCTTGCGAAGCTCGCCCACCACTACCTCCCCCTCCTCAGCATTCTTCGCGACAGCAAGACCAGCCACGCGCCCTCACCTGGACGGAACAGCCAGCTAGCCATGGCCTCATCACCACAGGCCGAGCCTGCCGAGGACGTATCGGCGCCCAAACGCCGCGAGATTGCCTGCATGGGAATGCCTCTTGGACCAGCTGGAGAACCTGCTCAACCAGTCCAAGGGCTTCATCTGTGAGAACCAGCCCAAGCCAAGTACGTATGCAATGCTGATGGGTGCTGCTCCTAGCCATTCGTAATATACGCTTGAATGCCCTGCATGCTGGATGGGTTGTAACAATATGGCCTCCGGCCTCTGCCTGACCACGCCCACCTGACCACGCCCACCAGACCGCTATACTATTGTCCCCTCGAACTTGGTGGTTATTCCTCCTCCAACCTGGCATTGATCCTCTATCTGGACTTTCCAGAACTGTGTTTCTTGCGATGGGAGCCCGATGTTGGACTGTGCGAGTCTCTCTGGCGCTTAGAAGAGGCCTTATGGCGACTGTGGCGTTCCGATATCGACGTTGATGTAGAGCTTGGATTCGCTGGTCCGGCAGCAGCGGGCGCAGGTGATACGCTGTACCCCTGGTAATCTTGCGTTGCAGGAGATCGTGATCTTTCGACGGCTGATGGTGTGTGGTCAGCCTCGCAGTCGAAATTCTCGTCCGAGACGGAATTGGAGTTATCGCAGGGCTGTGCCTCAGCTATCGGCTCTTCCTGAGCAGCTGCGACCCGCGCTCGGTATGTAGCGTTGGCCGCCTCGATGAATGTAGCTCGCTGCTGCATCGCTAGGTCCCTCAGATTCCTGTATGCAGTAGCTCCTCGAACAAAGGTCTCCCGGTTATCCGTTAAGGCATAAGCAGTGAGCTGGTTCATGTGATACTCGGGCTGGCCTTCTGATGTTGCAGGCGCAGTAGTATGATGAGCATACAGCTTGAGCTGGCCATCATGGTAGGTTGAGCTGTAGGTATAGGGATTGCTATCATACACAGGCTTCTCCCGACCATAGTTCTGCAGGCTATGCATAGCCCGAGTACCGATTGCTCCATCATACTGAGCCTGTCGCATCATCACTGCTGTTGATCCATGCGGGCCCTTCGCTTCTAAGAAGAAATTGGGTGCAATTATCCGATCTGTTGAGGTAGAGGGGATAATATGATGTGAAAGCTCGCTGCGAACAGCTGGGTCAAGCTGGGTAGGGCAGGCGCCCAGAGCAATATCTGGTTTTGCGTCTGTTATAGTTCCGTCCGTAAGCGGCTCTAGATTTCCGAAAGCCATATTTTCGGTAGATGGATGGTTATCTTCCCAGGGGCCAGTAATAGTTGGCAGCACATATTTGCATATATCGCTTTCATCTTTTGCCTGAGCATTGGTTTTGCGGAAGATCTTGAATCTGTCATCGGAGAATCGGGAGAGCGATAGAGATGGTCGTGGTTTTGCAAGTATAGTAGAGAAAGTGTTCTCATCTATCTCTTGCGAGTCCCAATATGTATGAATGCCATGATCGGTCAAATGTTGTTCGAATCCACGATTATAAGTTGATGTCTTTCCAGTCTTTGTTGTCCCCCCCGGCTTTGTTGTAACCGGAGTAGGATCAGTAGACTTGGTTGCTTGGCTTCTAGATAAGGAGCTCATAGTAGCAGCAGTATGGTGCTTGCTCAGCACAGGAGCAGGATACCCTCGAAGATCGCGCAGGTCTGGTCCGCCGTGGCGTGCAAATCGGGCGAGGTCTTGGGCAGCGGGCTCTGTCGGCGACGACGGGGGAGGAGGGGCAGGTTGTTGTTCGCAAATCCGCCGGTCAAGCTCTTCCAGGGCCGAGCGGATCAGCGGAATCGTCGAGAGTCTGTCCCAGAACTCGGGTGGATAGTGCCAGGAGGGCGTGTCGACGGAGGGTGAGGGCGAGGGCGAGTCGGAACTCTGGTATCGAGATATCTGGGCTGAGTTCTTTTCTAGCAGGGACTGCTTGATCTTCCGGGGGGACTTCGCACAGCGACTGTGTTGCAAGTCATCGTTTGCTCGTTGTCTCTTGCGAACTTGGGGGACCGCCATAAAGGGCATCTTGCAGGAGACAAAAGCGAGCACGGAACTTGAGGATAATAAGGGGGCATTGGTTGCAAAAGAGCTGGAGTCTCATCGCTGGATCTTTGTTGGCCATTCGACTGGATGCGAAATGCGCGTAGAGAAAAAATTTTATTGGACAGCTTGCGTTTCAACAAGATTAGGCAGTAGTTTTCTGATTAGCTAATGTTTTTCCTACGACAAAGGAGCATCGTTAGCGCTAGTGCTGCAACATGCAGGTTACGAAATAAGCCTGACCTCTGCTTGGTATCTCGCATTTGCATCCTGAATAAACATGTCTCGGTGCTGCTTCGCCAGATCCCTAAGGTTCTTATAGGCAGTAGCTCCTTCAGCAAAGGTTGCATGTATACCCGTCATGCCAAATATCCTAAGCTGGTTCATATGGTACTCAGGCCGCCCTTCTGGCGTTGCAGGCGCAGTGATATGATGAGCGAATAGCCGGAGTGTCCCTGTTCCGCCATGGTAGGTCGCAGTATAGGTATAGGCATTGCCATTGTACACCGGCTTCTCTTAACCATAGTTAATTTATGCAGCTTGTGATTGCACCACACACACCTGGCCAGCCCTGAACATCGTGACAGGGTCCATCGGAGCTGCTGCTGGCATGGCTTCTGGCACATCCAAGGCATGGAATCTTGCAGGCCATGGTATCAGGTCTAGCCTGTTTCGCGGTCGAGGGCGTGGCAGTGTTCAGATTCCACCTCACAGTTTTGCCACCTCTGGATTCCTCAGGCTGCGCCTCATCGTAGAAAGGACATGTGCTATGAATATCACAGATGGGGATGGCAAACAGTATATTGGATCTGCAATCTTCCGTAACTACCATATCATTTCCCTCGAATCCAGCCCTGTCTTCTCCTGTCTGGCGTTGACTGCGTTAATTAGTCTTTCTAGAACTGTGTTTCTTGCAACAGGAGCCCGACGGCGGACTCTGCGAGTCTCTGTAGCGCTTAGAAGGGGTCTCGTGGCTTCTCTCTGATGTTGAGATCGATATAGAGCTTGGATTGATGCTTGTCGCTGGTCCGGGAGCAGCTGGTCCGGGAGCAGCGGGCATGGCGCCAGATGGTCCGCTATACTGCTGGCAATCCTGGCCTGCAGGATCTGTTGAATTTTCGATAGCTGGTGGTGTGCAGTCGGTGTACTCGTCCGAGCTGGAGCTGGAGTCTTCCTGGGACTGTGCCTTGGCTATAGGGTTTTCCTGAGCCGCCTGGTATCTAGCGTTTGCGTCCTGAATGAATGCATCTCGGTGCTTCTTCGCTAGATCCCTCAGATTCCTGTATGCAGTAGCTCCCTGAACAAAGGTCTCACGTGTATCCGTCATGCCAAATGTTCTGAGAAGGTTATTCTCGCAGGGACTCGTCTCGAGAAGAACGCTCTCATCTGGTACGAACCTTCTCTACGTAACCACTTGGAGCATTAGGATGACTCCGACGCGCGTACCCAGGGTACTAAGGATATGTTCGACTCCTTTGCAGGCTTCGAGAAAGCTCTCAAAGAAACCTTCGGTGATCCCAATGAAGAATGCACCACGGCTCAGCAACTCATAAACCTTAAGCAGACCAAGTCAGCCTCTGCTTATACGGTTAGGTTCAAGCAACTCTCAGTACGACTCCTATGGGAAGACAAAAACCTCATGGAGCACTACTACAAGGGACTCAAGGACAACGTTAAGAACGAAATCTCCAAGCAGGATTAGCTGGAGGACTTTGCGATGTTCTCAAACCAGGCAATCCGCATTGACAACCGTCTGTACGAACGACGGATGGAGAAGTCCAAGAAGGGAGGAAGCCAGACTTGGAGGTTTCCAGCTAATACGGGCAAGAAACTCCAACACAAGAACGGCAGTTGACACAGTAATACAGCCCAGAGCAGCACTATGCATGCTGGCCCTATGAAGCTCGACGCCGCTAACAGACAGTACAGCAAAGGAAGCAATGTTATCTGCTACAACTGCAACAAACAGGGATATATCTCATGCAACTGCCGGCAGCTCAGGAAAGGCAAGTGGCAACTAATCCAGGAAGAACAACAGGTGAATATTGCCTAATGACAGGAATCCAATCATCTGAGTAACAATACTCTACCGGAGCAAGTGTTGAACCCTATCGACTACAGAACTCTTAATTGGATCTTCTGTTACAACGATAGCTGCTTAATACATCTCGCAGCGAAGAAAGGCTCAGAATGGTTCTCCAAAGCATCTAAAGGGAAAAAGCAACTGGCGGTGGGATAACGAACAGATAGCAACAACTCGGACTGCTCAAGTGCCACAAAGAAAGCACTTCAGAAAGCTCTCAATAGCAGCACTCTCCAGCATTCCCCATCACCAGCACCACAGGCGATGTTCCGAGGCACAGACAAGGGATGGTATCCCCTCGGATACTGATACGAACAACTCTCCAGCCAGGAAGAGCATCTATCGGAAAGACAGCTAGACGAACTATTACAGATAACACTCAGCGATATCAACAGCGAGAGCTAGGCTTCGATGAAGCTAAGACAGCATTTACAAGGATTTGGATGGAACAAATAAGATACAATCATCGAATACATTGTATACAGACTAGACTTAAAGAAACTTTTCATTAGTATTCCCATTCATAATATGGAAGCTATGCAGTACAAAGATCCAAGGATCAGCATGTTACATTCCAAGCACTGGGAACTAGCGTGGATCTTCTGCATTAATCACAGCTGCAGAAACCACTTCTCCGAGAAGGTCGACTACGAATGGTTTTCAGCGAAAGAATCCGAACAAATTGTCCAGGCTATAAAAGAAGCAGACCTATGATTTCAGCAAGTTTTCAGCAGAGATGACCATAATGCATACATTGGTCTATCGGATGATTGCTTCAGGATCTGCATAACTAAACAAATGGAATGGTAGCAGTCTAAGGCAATACTCTGCACTATTTACATCAATGACAAAGTTCGTGATTAGCATTGACAGAAAGATGACTAACAGCGATGATGATACAGGCAGAAGCAAGCTAAGAAGCTTGCTCAAGAAGCAGCTATACAGGCTCAAGGAAAAGGCAAGCGGTCTTCAGAGATTTCAAAAGAACAGGATTGCTTGTAACAGAACTACAGGCAATCGAACCAGAACAGTCTCTATGTAAAGCTTTTAAAACGAACTATACTTACATCAAGCTCGATGCATACATTCTTGGATACAAATACAGCGCACTATTGAACAGTGGCGCTCAGGGAAACTTTATATTCCTATGCATTGTTAACCAAGCATAACTATAATGGAAATGAAAGGGATAATCATATACTCTCTCAGCACTGTAGAAGGACAACCTGTTGCATATAACCAAGGTATAATCGATACGAAGACTGATTATCTACTTGTTTTGATTCAGGGATATACAACCAAGGTTTCTTTTGATATTACAGATATAGCACATCATGAGCTGATTGTGGGACTTCCATAGCTTAAAGAGCATAATTCTCGAATCAATTGAACTACTGGCCAGATCTCATGGGAACAAGCCGTACCCAGAGAGATAGTTGCAATCAACAGCGCAGAACGAGATTCAGTTACTGAGTGTTACTCGAGGCAAGAGGATTCAAACGAATCTATATATACCTCCGAATCGGGAAGAAGACAAACGGGAGCAACAGGTGCCCCGATTAACCATAGAGAAGAACCTAGTAATAAGCGAACCCAACCAATACCAGAGCGCTAGCAGGTTAGCACAACAACAGAAGCGAGGCTCTCAGCAGAACGGTCCGCCCCGGAGCGACGAAGAAAAGCTTCAGAATGTAAACTGTGGAACTACAAGGAAATCTCGATACCAAACCCCCAAGCGTTCGGTCCGGCCCGGAGCGATCACTCAAGGCCTCCGGAGCTGCTATGCAGAAAACCAGCAACCAGCGAAAAGAAGCACGCTCAACAGTACCTCCTATTCTCCCAGATAGCGGAAACGGAAGAAGGACCCATACTAACATTCGATAGCATATTACAGGAGTACTACAAATTCAAATAACTGTTCTCAGGAAAGTTCGAGCATAAACTACTAGGATACAGCTTATACAACCACGAAATCCCACTCAAGGAAGGAACTTAACCGAAGTTCTTCTTTATTTATGAACTTGATGAAGCAAGACTCCAAGCGCTTAAGGAGTACTTCAATGAGAATGTTAAGAAAGGCTACATACAATCATTATAATCCCTAGCAGAATACCCTATCCTGTTTATACTCAAGAAAAACAGCAAACTCAGACTTTGCATTGACTACAGGCAACTCAATGATATCACTATCAAGAATTAGTATTTCTTACTTCTCAACAAGGAGCTACAAGACTGATTACAAGGCATACAATGGTTTACAGCTCTCGATCTCAAGAAAGAATATCATCACATCCGCATCAAGGAAGGAGATGAATGGAAAACAGCCTTCAGAACTTGCTACAGATATTATGAATACCTAGTTATGCTCTTTGGATTGATTAACGCGCCTGCATCTTTCCAAGAAATGATTAATTACATTCTATGCGAATTCCTCAACATCTTCATTATCGTTTACCTCAACAATATCCTCATTTACTTGAAGAATCTTGAAATGCATAAGCAGCACATCAGGATAGTGCTACAGACGCTTCAGGATGCCAAACTTCTAGTCAAGCTCATGAAGTATCAATTTCACGCCCGGAAAGTTGACTACCTTGGATATACAATTGAACCAAGATGCATCCGAATGCAGAAAGACAAGATCCAGGCACTCAAGGAATAGCCTGAACTCAAGAATGTTACAGATATTCGAGCATTCCTCGGATACGCTAACTTTTATCAACAGTTTATCAAAAAATATAGCGAGATTGCTAGACTCCTTACAAACCTTACCAAGAAGGAACAGCTATTCCTCTGGTTAGATCAGGAGAGTTACGCCTTCAACAAGATCAAAGAGCTAGTTGCTGAAGATCCAGTCTTGGAAGAATCCGATCCGGAAAAGAAATACGAACTTTGGACAGACTTCTCGGATTACGCACTTGGCAGAGAACTTAACCAACGAGACGATCAGAGACGCTTACGCCTGATCGCTAACTTCTCCAAGAAGCTCAACGAACTAGAGCTATGGTACGGGATACCAGATAAGAAACTTATAGCTATAGTAGAAGCATTCAAGGAATAGGAATATTATCTTATTAGCGCTAAATATACGATTAAGATGTTCTCGAACTATAAGAATCTCATCTCATTTATAATAACGAAGATCTTGAATCGATAACAGATAAATAAGCGGAATATCTATCTCAGTTTAATTTTAAGGTTATCCATATCCAGGGAAAAGAAAACGCTAGAGCAGACGCTCTCAGCAGAAGACTAGACTATAGAGATTATATTAAAGAAGAAATTCAAAATATCTTCGAAAGAAATAAGAAAGGGAATCTTATCAACGCATACAAGGAATTAAATATTACCCTCAGGATTAGCTACAACAGAAAGAATCCAGAACAGATAATCCCAGAAGAACAAGATCAATACATCAAGGATATGCACGAAGCACCAGCATATAGCTACCAAGGAATTAGAGCTACATACAACAGGATTTCGAGATACTGGAACCCGCCAGAACTCAAGAAAAGGATCAGAGATCTCTTAAAGAAATGCAACAGTTGCAACAAGAACAAGACAAACAGATACAAGCTCTACGAACTGCTCTAACCCTTACTAGTACCTAGCGCTATTTGGTCTTCCATCAGCCTAGACTTTATTACCAAGTTACTACTCTTACGAGAACTCTTAACCAAGGTACAATTTGATAGCATCTTGGTAGTGGTTTGCAGACTGAGCAAGTATGCGTACTTCCTACTCTATAAGGAAAGCAGCACTGCAGAGGAACTCGCCTATACGATACTCCGAATAATTATAAGCAAGCATAGCATGCTACAAGAAATCATATCCGATAGAGACAGAAAGTTTGCATCCAAGTTTTGAACCTTACTCATCAGATCACTCAGATCGAAACAACGACTTTCCACTGCATATTACTCAGAGACAGATGGACAGACAGAATGTATTAACCAGATTGTAGAACAGTATCTACGCTACTATGTTAATAAGCAACAGGATAATTGGGTAGAATGGCTACTACTTGCAGAATTCGCATATAATAGCGCAAATATAAGCACTACGAAGGTATTACCCTTCTATGCGATATACGAATACAACCTTACAGCATATTACGAGACGATTCCCAGCGCAGATGCTGAAGATGCTATTCAGAAAACTAACAAGCTAAAGAATATTCATAAGAATCTCCAATCAGAACTCAGAAAGATTAGAGAACAAATAGCAACTACAGCTAATTCCAGAAGAGTTGAGAAACCAATCCTAAAGGAGGGAGATAAAGTCTATTTGAGACGAAAAAACATCAAAACTACACAACCCAGCAACAAGCTCGATTACAAGAAACTAGAACTCTTCAAAATTGTACGAAAAATCTCACTAATCAACTACAAACTCGCCATCCCATACAAGAGACTACACCCAGTCTTTCATATCTCACTCTTAGAACCAGCCCTGGATACCGCCGAACTCGCATACGACGAGCCTATCGAATCAGACGACGAACAATATGAAGTCAATAAAATCCTCAGAGCAAGAAAAAGAGGAAGAGGATACCAGTACTTAATCCAATGAAAGGACTACAGTAGCAGCGAAAACTCATGGGAAAAACCCGCGAATATCAGCAAGGAACTTATCAAGGAATTTTGGAACACACTCTCATATCAAGAACGAGGCGAACTCGCCTGACCGCCGGATCGCTCCGCCCCGGACCGAGACTCAGAAGCCCCAGAAACCCCAACATTGTCCGCATCACCCAAAAAGGAATAGTCCAACAAACCCTTAGAAGGCCAGGAAAGCTTCCCAGAAACCAACTCGTTAAACCGCTCAGGAAGAGAACCAGCAGGAGCACGAGCCTGCTGCTCTTTCGCCAATTCCTCCGCCTCCACACGATCAAGCTCCTCAATCGTATCCAGATCCCGATGAACAGCGCGCGCTATCTTCTCAGCCCACAGTTTGCGCTGTTTCCTTAATCGACGCACCTTGGCTGTAGCACGCTCCAGTTCCTCCTCCGCATCATCTAAGGCAGCCTCAGCAGCGGAATGCTGAGCTACGATCTTTTCCACCTGCAACGGCGAGAGGCCATGCATGTCGCAGTTTCCTCGCTTAAAACGAATGCACTCGGTGCAACGCGACGAATCCTTCTCGGAAGAAAGACAGCGGGTCTTGCGACCTTCGCAGAAAGAACAAGTTGGCATCTCGATGCAACGAGAAAGGGCGATAAGCCAAAGGGAAGTGGTTTGTTCCGTCTTCTTGTGACGGGATTTGTTGACTCTGTCCGACATCCCGATCAGGAAGGCATGATCCTCTATCTGGACTTTCCAGAACTGTGTTTCTTGCGATGGGAGCCCGACGTCGGACTGTGCGAGTCTCTGTAGCGCTTAGAAGGGGCTTTCTGGCGGCTGTGGCTGCTGTGGCTTTTCCCCGATGTCAAGCTCGACGTAAAGCTTGTATCAATGCTCGCCGCTGGTTTAGCAGCAGCAGCAAATGTGGAACCAGATGTCCGACTGTGCCCCAGTTGGCGATCTTGCCCGTCGGGGTGTAGTGCTCTGTCGACGGCCTGGGGTGTATAATAAGCCTCGCAGTCCACGTAGCTGTCCGAGCTGGCGTTGTTCTCGGAGCATGCCTCGCCCGTGGGGATTTCCTGCGCTGCTGCAGTTTCCGCTTGGTATCTAGCGTTCGCATCCTGGATGAAAGTATCTCGACGCTGCTTCGCTAGATCTCTCGCATTTCTGTATGCAGTAGCTCCTTGAATAAAGGTTTCCTGTGAATCCGTCATATCGAACCCCCTGATCTTGTTTATGTGGTACTCGGGCTGGCCTCCTGATGTTGCGGGCGCAGTAGCATGATGAGCGAATAGCTGGAGTGTGCCATCATGGTAGGTTGTACTATAGGTATAGGGATTGCCATCATACACAGGCTCCTCCCGACCATAGTTCTGCAGGCTATGCATAGCCCGAGTACCGATTGCTCCATCATAGCGAGCCTGTCGCATCATCACTGCTGCAGATCCGTCCGGGCTCTTCGCCTCCAGAAAGAAGTTGGGCGCTATCAATCGATCCGTCGAAGTGGAAGGGATAATGTGGTGTTGGAGCTCGCTGCGAATAGTTGGATTGAGTTGTTCAGGGAGAGCTCCTAGAGCAATGTCCGGCTTGGCTGCTACTATAGTTCCATCAGTGAGCGGTGCCAGATTTCCGAAAGCCATATTCGCAGTGGAGGGATAATTATCTTTCCGAGGGCCAGTAATGGTGGGAAGAACGTATTTGCACACATCATCTTCATCCTTTGCCTGAGCATTAGTCTCATAGAAAGTCTCGAAAGCATTGTCTGAGAAGCAAGAGGGCGAGAGTGATGGCCTTGGAGCCATGAGTGCCACTTTTACTTCCTCCAAGTTTAGCTTTTGCGACTTCCAGATGGTATGAATGCCATGGTCGGTCAAATGCTGATCGAACCCAGGATTGTAAGGGGATGACTTTCTACTCTTGGTTGTCCCTGACTTGGTTATAACCGTTGTTGGATCGGTAGATTTGATTGCTTGGCTTCGGGACGAGGAGCTCATGGCGCTGGCGGTTTGGTAGTTCCTTACTACAGGAGCGGAATACCCTCGAAGATCACACAGATCTGGCCCGCCGTGGCGTGCAAATCGAGCGAGGTTCTGAGCGGACTCTGTTGGCGGCGGCGGAGGCGAAAAGGCAGGTCGTGCACGATTCCGTCGGTCGAGTTCTTCCAGGGCCGAGCGGATAAGCGGAATTGTCGAGAGTCTGTCCCAAAACTCAGGTGGGTAGCGCCAGGGACTGGAGTGGTTGAGGGCCGGCGGATCGATACTCTCCGCTGAGGAGTTGTCGGGTGCTGTCTGGTCTCGACGTGGTATCTTCTGGGACTTCGCACAACGACCGTCTTGCAAGTCCTCGTGTGCTCGTTGTCTCTTCCGGTTCGCCATGAAGAGCGTCTTGCAGAAAATAACAACGAGCGCAGGCGCTGGTGATAATAAAGAGCATCAGCTGCATATGAGCTAGCGGACCAAAGTGTTTCATCGTTGGACATCTATCAGCCATTCGATATCATGCGCGTGGATACGAAAATGCAAAAATACTGCGTCCATGCGTGGATGTTATGACTCATTCAGCATGCAAGTCACCAACCAGCAGGGATTACGTAAGCAAAGGGTTAGGGTTGGGATCACCAACCGGGAACCCTTCCAGTTGTATGCGCCCGTGTTGACATGCGATTGGGTACTTGGTGCGAGGCGACGGCGGCATCTGATGGACTCGAGAAACCTCTAGAGTAAGCTAATGACGACGAACCTGAGAATGTCTGGAACCCCGAGCGGGCACAACTGGTCAGCCTTTTTCTTTAATCTCATAGGTATGCAGCTGGTGATGAACCACGACTACAATAGCATGCAAAAAAATCTAGTTCGCGAGGCTCTGCGGGTCCCTGAAGGAGGATCCACGTCCACAACCCCCACCTCGTGGCGTGGACACATGCGTAGTGACTTAGCCTGTGACATCTGAGATATTAAGCTCGTCTGCTATGTATATGTGTGCATGTATGTGGTCCAGTAGTAGTGCTCTTACCTCTGCTCTGCCATGCCAAGCCAACCGCTTGTACATCCTCTTATCTCCCCGCCCACCTCTCTCTCTCTCTCTTTTTTCTATCTCAGCCTCCTGCTTGCCTTGATCGTCTGATTCGGCGGTGAATTGTGGGGGGGGGGGGGGTTGGGTTGGGCGCAAAGGAAGGCTTGGGCATCGGCAACATCGGGCCAACTGGAGAGAAAAAAAATCAAACAAGTGGTGGCTGCCAAGGGGGGGCAAGCAAATTGAGCCCCCAAACACGAGATGAACGCATTCCGGGCAGATCAGAGGACATCATCCCACGACAGCGATTGGGTCTGCAATACGCCTGGAGAGGTCCACTTCATTCTCAGAACGTTGTGGTACAGGCACCGACAACCAGACCGGGTTCCATCGGACGGGAGGGAGATCAAGCATGTTTTACGGCTATGCGAAAGCGAGATGCAATCCTTGTAGCCTCATGCCTTGTACCCGCTTCTTGAGGAGGGGTGCGGATGATCGTAGGACCCGCTTCAGCTTCTTGTGAAAAGAAGGTTGCACCTTGAATCCACAGAAAAAAGGCTGGTTTCCCGATCCCGTGAGGTTGTGTGTTGGGGTGCGGGGTGTGGAGAGGGTAACCGTGTGAGCACAGACGACGCGAGTGGATACCTGACTGGTCCATGACATGTTTCAGCAGCAGTCGAGACCACAAAACTACACACATCATGCTCGAATGGAGCCGATGGACGATCTGTATCAAACGTGGGGATGGAGGCAAGGGAAACAAAAGAAACAGGCGAGATAGTTGATCATGTTATATGGGAGGAATTGGGCAAAAGAAAGGGAAAGGAGGAGGGGTCTGCAACGTGTGAGGTTGGCCCGGGGGGGGGGGGGCCCATGATGCTTCTGAGTACTTACTTGAGTACATTGGTACCGTTATCGACCAGAAAACTACCATGACTCGACTCAGGTTTCTTTTCTGCTCGCTTGGGGTTGGATGAGGAACACATCAGGGGTAGTCTTCGAAACGGAGTGTCGTGTTGCTCAAGATTGAACTCTCGAGAAAGGGAAAAAGAGAATAGGTTGGAAGGATGGAATGGAAACTCGTACCAGAAGGCACAACTGCACAAGGTGTGGGAGGCATCTTGCCAGGCGCTAGCAGGGGAAAGGAACAGTGCGTAGCTTTGCTATAGGCACGGATTTCTGTGCAGATGTTTTGCGGGGGCGCTACTGTGCCAACACGGACATACATACCTCTTGGGGTGAGTTTTGCGAGGCCAATGAGAGAGCCCTCCATGTACCCAGTCCGGTTCTGCACCTGCTGTGTCGTGCTCATACGACTGTCTTTTGCATAGCAAAGCTTCCCTTGAGATGTGCAAGCTGTGGGCAAGCTGTGAATGCCCTTGTGGACGCCATGCATCCATCAGGAGTCAGCTGTGAGGGGGGCGGGAAAAAAAGAGTGTCCGACAAAAGCTCGATGGCAAGAGCAGCACAGGGCACATCACCACAGAGAGATTTTGATGCAGGTGTGCCCCTGGGTTTCTCTTGCGGGAGAGTGTGAGACAGACAGATCTTGGGGGGGGGGGAAAAAAAAAAAAAAAAAAAAAAAAAAACAAGGCACGCAAGAGAACATGACCAAGATGTGCTCATCCGTCACAACATTGGTCATGATCATACTACCAAAAGTACCACAAGTACGTACAACTAAGTAACAGCATTGACAACCACTCTCAACGCTTGAACAAGCAACCAAAACTCGACAGCGACGCTCTGCATACCCCTTCTAGCTTTACCTGCTACCCTGCAGCCCCGTCTTTTAGCTACCCGTCTTTGCCGTCCCGCTGTCTTGCGATTGGCCCTAACGGGAACAAGCTCACCACTGCGTTATCCAGACCGTCCCCACCCTGAATCACAGGGTCCGACCCACCGCCTCCTCCATGTGCTGAATCCCTGGGTTACTCACTTAGTCTCTCTGTGTCTGTCTCTCTCTCTCTCTCTCTCTCTCTCCCTTGCTCTCCTCCATTTAGTATTCCTTTCTTTGTGCAGACGGGAATAAATCTAACAGGGATGACATGAGTACTTGCTTGTAACGTGGGAATGAATGGTTCTATCACAGAGGGAGGGGTGTTACACAGAACTTGGCCTCTTCTTCTCTCCCCAACCCCCTTGCTTCTTCTCTTCCTCGTCTTCTTTTCCTTTTTCTTCATTGCCATTCTCCCATCTTCTTAAATTCCCCAGAGTGTTCAGGCTTAGGTGAGTAAGGCACCTCTTCCTACCCAACATCTACCCAGCATCGCCACGAGCATTTGCATCCACTCCAATATCTTTCCCCTTACTACCTTTGTTTATTGATCAAAAGACTGACCAGCTGGCTGATCCAGAAGTCCCGACGACGACACCTCCACCACCCCCGGACAGGAGCCGCCCGTATCCCCTGAACTATCATCCTGCCACCACCCTCGACACATTTCTCCCCGTCATCACATCATCGTCGTCAGACCCATTTCGCTACATACACATATTGCCGATCCTGAAGACAGAATTTACAACCACTCCACAGTTCATCGACGTCGCTCTCTAGGGCTCGGTACTATAACGAGGGAGGGAGGGGGTCCTTTATTCCCCTCCGCTATATCTCGGGACTCGGCTTCAGCTCCACCCTTGCTCACACCCCACCCTCGTCCTGCCCCCCTTCCATTGACTATCTTCTCGCCGGGGGGTGCTTTCTCGTTACTTTCTCCAGAACGAGCATAGCCTCAGGTGCCATTGTGTTAGCGAGGTGGACATTGATCGGGATAATTCATCAACAGAAGGCGTGTTCCGTCTGTCGTTGGTCAAACCTCCACCAACGGCCTTCTCCTCTCGGTCCTGTCCACCAAGCCAGGAATACACGGCCGCTGTCATCTCCTCCTGGTCATCGGGACTGGGAGATAAACACACTAGGGTTTGACAACAACGTGCGCTCTGCCTGTAGGGCTCTCACAGGTCCTGGGAAGGAAGATACAAGAGGGATCCTACCCTTGCGCCTCCCCCCTCGCGCGAGGACAGAGCCCAAGTGATCTTTTTATTGGTTCTTTCTGGTTTTTTTTTTTTTTTTCCCTCCTTTTTTCTTCCTTCCGTCTCCACCACCTCCATTATAATCATCCTCTTCTTCTTCTTCTGCTTTCTGTTCTTTTCCTCCTCATCTTCCTCTTCTCACACCATGCCACCCTTTATCAATATCACCCCCAGACAGCTAGGCCCGCACCTAAAGAAGATGAATAGGCCTATGACTAAGCCGGGCTTCAACCCCTTAGCTGGTTCTTCCCAAGCTCGGGCCCGAGCCATGGTGCCTTTCCCCTCGTCGGCCTCGTTCAAATGGAATCCCGACCCGCTGGCGTTTTCCCTCGCCTACCTTAGCACGGAGCTCTTGAGCTTGATCTTTGAGGAGGTTCGTTTACAGCCACCCCATCGCGTGAGGAGAGAGAAGGAGATAAAGCGGGGGGAGGAATGCTCATGTTGGACAGGCGATGCTGACTGGACCTCCTTCTTTGGCACGGCCTGTAGCTCCTTGAAATCGATCCTCATAGTGCCTGGACGGCTCGTCTTGCGTGCCGGCGGCTAGAATGTGTGGGGACTCCTATTCTTTACAAGATGATGTTGTTGAGCGAGCGCAAGATCTCTGTGATGTGCGAACAGCACGTTCCTTCGGCCCTCGAGAAGATGTATGCGCACACTCGTTATCTCGTCGGCTATAGCAACCTAGACCCCGTGAGGATGAAGACCATCGTGGAGAGAATCAAGAAGTTGGTATATTTCCAGTAAGCTCGAGTTTTGTCCCGCTCCTTTTTCCCTCAACCACAAGAGAAGAAAGAAAAAAGAAAAAAAGACTTTTCCTCGGCAGCAAAACAGATGAATGATGCTGACCATGAAACCAGCTTTTCCTACGTGGACGGCATAATCAAGTCAGGGGAGTTCTATCTGCCAGGAGACATCATCGACATAGAAAAAATGCAGCGCGACGAGATCAGGCTGCTCATCGAGAACCTCCCGCTCCGCAATTTCGACCTGGACGAGGTGAACTTGTACAGGAGAGCTTTCCCGATTCGGCACGCGAAGCACATAATCCACCTCAACGTGGCGCCCCCGACAACGCCCCTCGTGACACGGCTGAGGTCGCTGTATGGACTCCTCTTGACGGCGCCGGACCTTGAGGTGCTGCAGATTGAGGACCGTGGCCAGGGAACTCAATTCGAGTTTGGGGAGGGCAACATGTTGCCGACGCTGCGCGAGCTATGCCTCCGCTCCTACGACTGGCGACACACGCGCGATGACATGGACTCTCACTGGGCGCTTCACAAGCTGGTCCGCCTAGAGCTGATCTCTGTGCCCGTGTTCAACTTCCTCATAGCGGCCCGCTTCCCCCAGCTAGGAAATCTGAAGATCCTGCGTTGTGATGACTTCAGCGCCCACCTGCCGGACTGTCGCCGGCAAGCCACCGACAAGCTGGTTACGCTGGTGCGCGACAACATCAAGGCCCTGGAGGTGCTTTGCCTGACGCTTCATATGGATCAGTTCCCTCCCGTCGACGTGCTGCGGAAACATGGGCCCACGCTCCGGGAGCTACGGCTGCGCGACCACGTGGGATTCTCTGAGGAGAACCGCGGGTGCCCGACGCTATGCCCGACGGTGGTCGCGGCGCTGTCGAGAACCCTCCCGCGCCTGGAGGAGCTTGAGCTCGACATGGACCTTCTCTCCGACCGCACCGCGCTGCGCTTCCTGGACGCCCTGGTCCTGTTCCCAAGACTGCACACGATCACGCTGCACGTGCAGACGCGCATCAGGCTGCTGGCCGAGGACCCGATGGACAAGGGGATGAACAAGGCCGAGCGGAAGCTGGACCTGGACCTGGACCGCGCCCACGCCCTGCACATCGTGCGCTACCTGGCCCTGAACAGACGCAGGCTGCAGAACGGCCCACTGTTCCGGAACATCACCATCAACGTGGGCGGGTGGAAGCCCGTCATGGTGCGCCGGCTGAGCGAGGCATGGAGAGCGATGAACCAGAAGGGCCTCTTTGCGGAACGGTGTTTTGTGATGCATGGGGGAGGGGTGCTCGAAGATGGCTTCAAGGAGGTGCTCCCCACCCAGGTGAAGTAGTTGGGACATTTGGTTGTAGAGAAGAGTTGTTTAGAAGAGTTCATTTCTTTGCTCTCAAATTTTTTTTTTTTTTTTTTTTTAAACATTCTTGTAGCATGGGAAAAGAAACAGGCGTGGAAAGACGGTCAAGGTTGCATGGGTCACAAAGATGGGGGGTTTGGTATCATAAGGTTTAGGGTCTTCATTTCTTGGGATCATCTTCTGGATGGACATATAGAATAAGCTTTTTTTTTTTTTTCTTCTTTTTTCTTGTTCAATATCTTTCAAATCAGGCCGTGGCTTATGTACATTGTGATAGGATATGACACGCAATACAGGCCTCCTCAGGTCGCTTGCACATGTAAATCCCAGTCGAGGATCCAGTGGCGTCACTGGCCCCCTCTGCCCCCCCCCCCCCCCCATGGGCCCTCCCGAGGTCCTCGAGATGGTGAACAGCTCACGATCAGAAAAGCCACTCTATTAAAGAAATATAGAATGTCGTTGAGGTCACATAACATATTTGACTTGGACGGACGCAAGCAGCCTGTCAACACAAAAAGAAAGAAGAAGAAGAAGAAAAGGAAAGGATCCGATCCTGCACAACAGCAAAAATCATAAGGAAGGTTGGTTGCACCGCAATAAGAGGGACTTATCGATAAGACTGATTGTCAAGGGTCACCCTAGCCCTTGCTCACAAGTCTTCAACCAATGAGGGGTCCCTGCCAGTTCCCAAAACAGTAAGCGGCGAAACCCCCAATTTTATTTTATCTTTCTTGTTTCTGGGGGGCAGGAGGAGGAGGAGGTGGTGGAGGTGGTGGTACTTTGCCATGGCTATTGATAGTTGGGAATGTGTTTTGGGGTGGTGGGTGGTGGTTGGGGGGGGGGGGCAGGGGGGGCAGGGGGGGCAACGAGGTAGCATGGCGCATCTACTCCTTCCTCTTCACGGCCACAAGGGAAAAAAGCATGCATCGACAGGCCGTAACAATCGCGACAAAGCAAAAAAAAAAAAAAATTTTCTTTTCTTTTCTTTTTCTTTCTGGATTGTACGAGGACGAAGCTTGTTGGCAGAGGGGCGGTTGTTTGTCGAGTGAGACGTTGCAGCAGCAGCAGCAGCAGCAGCAGCAGCAGCAGCATGTGCAGGGGAGGTGAGGGGGGTGAGGGGGTGGAGGGGGTTGGGGGGGAATTCGGAGGCCCATTTCGTAAGAACCGGCAAGCTGGGCCTGGCCTGTAACCCAAGGGTCTTAGTGGCAGTGGCAAGTGCGCCGGGCACGAGACGGTGGTGGTGGTGGTGGTGGTGGTGGTGGTGGTGGCTAACCCAATTGACAACCCCCCTGGAAGGAATGGCCAAGTCTCGCAGCGCCGAATCTTGTGGAGCGGGAGTGATGATTTGAACGAGTACTGCCATGACTTGTACCTCACATGTGTGCATCTGCCCAAGTAATGAGGAGTATAAAGAGGAAGGTGGAAAATTCAGTTTCTTCTTTATTGTTCTTATTTATAGTAGTAGTAGTACGCTGAAGACATTTCCTGACACCCTTGCCATGGGAACGCATCATACTGACTCCCTTCGTTAGCCCGACTACTCGAGCAACAAAAGAATGATCCCGTCGCTGGCGGTGATTCGTTCTCACATGCCCCGCCATCCTGTCAAGCCGGAGCTTCTCACCGCACTGCCCACACAGGTCACAAGATCGGCCCTGATGTAGTTCCCCCGTTTTAAAAAAAATCACTTGTCGGAGGGACTTGCATCAACTCAAAGATGTCAACATCCGGACTTCTCGTGGTTGAAGGGTCCCCGACGTCATATGAGTAGTGAAGCGTCTATCGTGGCAGTCGCCCTTCCGTATCTCTGTTGTCGTGGGGGCGTCCTCTTCTTGGTTGTGGTCTGATACCTCACCATCCCTCTCTGGGTCAGGGTCGTCGAGCGAGAGGGAAAGGAAAAAGGGGGGAGAAGGGAAAGATGTATCCTGCATGGCTTGCAAAACGTGCCCTCAATACGGCGGCTGAGGGAGGGGTCCACTCCTGGGCAACAAGTACTCCACATGATGATGATCAACCAACCCGATGATTTTCCTCTATGCAGCACATGTACTATGGCTCCAGATGGCCAAGGTCTACCAAGAAACAATTTTGGTGCTATTGATCTTGGCCACGCAGCTAAGGTCCAGGGGGTTCCCAATAGAGGGGGCCAAGCCAAACCTGGGCCTAAGTAAGGGTACAGAGGGGCAAGCCCTGCGACCCGAGCCCCCTGGGTCAGCCTGCAATAACACCTGAAGCATGAGACCAAGCCTGCGCTTTGGAGCTGCGGGAATTGCGTTCAAATCATGTTCAACGGTCCAATCTCAGAATGATTTTGAGTATAGGTAGAAAAGTATGAAGACGAATGAGTCAATTCGTCATCGCACGCTACTGACTAGTGGCCTTTGTCACAGGGGGTTCGGACCGCAACCTCTTGCAGCGTCGTGACGATTTTTTCCAGGCCAGTATTTTGCAGCTGTGGGCAGAAGAAGGTGGAAACAGACAAGATTGATTTGAGTTCTATATGATACTAGTGGTCTCGGGGGGAAGAAGGGGGACAAAGTAAGGAATGTGTTAACAATGACCGGGCACGAGCCCGGACATACAAAGAATCAAGTGTTCAACATACTATAGTTCCATATCCACCGCGGACCGGTCAGTCACAGTATTTCAGGGACTGACTGATATGGGCAGCAGGGTCATAACAAAATCCAACGCCAAAAAGGAAGAAAGAAAGAAGAGAAAGAAGAGAAAGAAGAGAAAGAAGAGAAAGAAGAGAAAGAAGAGAAAGAAAAATAAGAAAAGAAAAGAAAAAGTGTTACGACCCGTGGTTCAGGCGTAAGCTATATATACGGTTGGAAGGAATATTCGAACTCTCTGTTCGCATATTGGCTGATCTTTTGATCTAGGTAGTACAGTGGCACCTTCCACCACTGCTCATTATAAAAAGAAAGAAAGAAAGAAAAAAAAGAAAAGGAAAAAAAGAAAAGAAAGAAAAGAAAGAAAAGAAAAGAAAAGAAAAGAAAAGAAAGAAAGAAAGAAAGAAAAGAAAGGAAGGAAGAAAAGAAAGAAAAGAAAGAAAAGAAAAGAAAGAAAAGAAAAGAAAGAAAAGAAAAGAAAGAAAAGAAAAGAAAGAAAAGAAAAGAAAGAAAAGAAAAGAAAGAAAAGAAAAGAAAGAAAAGAAAAGAAAGAGAGAAACATGTTCGACAGCCTCCCTGGCACCGATTCAACGATTAAGACGAATGCTCAGTTCAATGGTGCGCTTGATGCGGTCGTAGAGACTCTCCAAGATGTTGATCATGACGTACGCCCACTGCCAAAAACTTGCCATATCAACTCGGTCTTGCAGCCTCACCACTAATCGCTTGAGGTTATCGAAGAGGTGGATTAGATTGTCCAGCAGATGGAGCTCGGGTGGGTCGACCAGGACCTGCTGAATTACTCTCTCAGCCCTGGCACGCGCATCCTCCCACTCCTGCATTTCGAAACGAGAGACTTCCGAGAAAGGGACCATGGGAGGCTGCGCCTGGACAGAGCTCTCGGCCGAGGGCGGCTCGGGGTTGCCAATGGCACCTGGGTCACTCGTTAGTAACAGGGGGGTGGTGCGGTCTCGTTGGTCGACAAAGACGTACTCGGGTGCGCATCATTGCCTGAGAGATGCTGCTCATCTTGGGCAGCGACCTTGTCATCGTCGGCAGAGACATGTTCATCGGAAGAAAGGGAGGTATGGTCCTTCTCCTCCTTCTTGACAGAGACATGGTCATCGGAAGAAATGGAGATATGGTCCTTCTCCTCCTTCTTGACAGAGACATGGTCATCGGAAGAAATGGAGATATGGTCATGCTCAAGAGGAGGATCCGGATGCTGATCCTCACCGGGGCGGAGCTCGTTCCAGCGCATGCGCTCATTCTGCTCACTCTCGACATAAGCTTGCAGATGTTCCCTCCTGTGAGCCCTGGTAACGTCGCTCTGGTGGTCCTGGTCTCTGAAATAGGTTGCCAGGGTCCTTCTCTCCAGCATCCGGGTGTTGACACGCGGGTTCCAATTGGCAACCGAATAAGCCCCAAATGGGTTAAGAAAGGGCACAGTCTGGTTAAACGTGTCGTCGTCGTCGTCGTCGTCGTCGTCGTCGTCGTCGTCGTCGTCGGCCTCGACAGCAGCGGCGGACGGGTCTGGGTTGGCTGTCTGGTCTCCCGCCGGCGCCACATGGTCGTGGGCGTCCTCATCCATTCCCTCGTATAAGGTATCACTGGCTCCGTCGTCGGCCGCGCCAGGTTCTTCGTATAAGGTATCACTGGCTCCGTCGTCGGCCGCGTCGGGCACTTCGTCCTTGATACGCTTGGGTGATGGCAACTCAGAGACTGAGCCGGGCCGTCTCTTCTTGTCAACGTTGTTGTTTTCGGCCATCTTCTCCATCTGTTGCAGATCCGACATGTCAGCGTGTTTGCTATCCTGGCTAGGGATCTTGAACTGGACGTACTTGGGATCCGGTCAGGACTGGTTGTGCACTGAAAAGTGGGAAGGTGATAGATTTGTTATGGGGGGGGGGGGTTTTTGGGGGGGGTTTTTTTTTTTTTTTTTTGTTGTTCTGGGGCTGTGGGAAGTGTGATGCTGCTGTTGTGGTTGTATGACAGGAGTGAAAAGACCAAAGATGGAGGAGGAACGGAGGTCTAAGATGCCAGAGCTCGAATGTGCTTGAAGGACTTTAGATTTTTCTTTCGGTTGAGAGGGAGACGACGGCTCGCTTTAAATATTTTGAGCGAGGGGGGGGGGCTTCCCTTTGCCTTCCCTGTTCTGTTCTTCCTTCCTTTCTCATGTATCCCTCCCTTGTCATCTTTTCTCCTGAAATTCCAGGTTTTCTTTTTTGCGGGAAAGGGCGGTATCCACCCCTCGGGCGTGGCGTGCTGTGATACGCCTAATGATGGAGGATCTGTGCCTTCTTGGGAAGAGAAATGATGCTGTAATTGCTTTTTTGTCTCGGGTCGCACTGCATCTTATCCAGGCGAGCTGCAGCTCAGCAGTCCAGACAAGGAGACTGCGATTCTACCGACAGAAACAATAAATGAAAATGACGTGTCTGGGTACACAGTTTAGACATGCGGTGAGTTAGGCAGCAGACTTGTCGCAGTGCGTGCCGTGCATGCATGCCTCCGGAATTCATCCAACCGAGGGGAGGGTGGAATCAGAACGCCAGGGGGGGGGGTCTTTGTTAAATTTTAGATGTGAAGAACAGAATACGACTCTGACCGATCACCTGGAGGGGGGGGGGGGGATGCATGTATTTCCCGCCCGTCTGGGCTGCATTCCATCATGCAACAGGCAGACGGACTAACGGTGTTGACAGGACCAATGTCCTTCTTGTTTTTGCCTTCCTTGCCTACTTGTCTATGGGCTGGTTCAGTCCTCTTGACCGTCTCAACAGCTAGCTCTAGGGGTTGCGTTGACTGGTGGTTGCCAGAAGGAATCAAGCTTTTTCCCCCAGAAATGAGGCTCTAGGTTCGGCAATTCTCTTCAAAAACTTATTTTTTCGTACCAAAGGCCCCCCCCCCCCGCCCCTCGCCCCTCGCCCCTCGCCCCTGCCAGGTCCATGCCAGCAACCGGAGAGCTACGAACGTCCAGTACACGACACTTGGAATTTACAGCGTACTGGGAAATTCATAGCAAGTCTGAACAATATTTTCATCCAGCGCAAACAATGGCAATTTTTATCCTAGTGATGACGAAACTCTCCCCCCCCCCCCTTTTTTTTTATTTTTTATTTTTTATTTCTTTCGGCGGTTGTTCTTTTGTGGTTTTCCCATGCAAGCACAGGGACTTATGAAGGCGTGACCAAATCCAACCAGGAATCAAATATCATGCAGACATCAACAAAGATTTTCCAACCGTAATGGTGCCCAGCCCAAAACAAGTAATTACAGAAATCCCATTATTCAGTCGTGGTGTAAAGTGGTTGTAAAAAGCTTGCCCGTTATTGATACGCGAAAAAAGGAAGTAAAGAAAGCGATTAGGAGTACTTGTTTAAGTTCCTGGTCTCCTTGGAACATAAAGCTGTTCCAATTGCTTGTTAGTAGGTTGAAACTGGTCATTGGCATTCATGAAGCTCTCTCGCTCGGGCTCTTGTTGGTTGATACGTACAGCTTCGGGCCAACCTGTTCCAAGGGGTCCATAAAGGGACAAGTCGCTGTTCTCTCTGTGTCTTCCGGAGCTCGGCTAAACGAAACAGGATACATACTCAATGAGGTCCACACAAGTAATCGAGAGAGAGAGAGAGAAAAAGGGGGGGGGGGGATCTTTTTGTGTGGACGTACCATTCATCATTGCCTTTTTGTAAATCGGTTTCCGATCGGCCTCGAGGAGAAAGTGCTTGACGTAGCCGTCCCAGTAGTGCAGCACGGCTTCAGGATATCGATCAGCGATTCCTGTGTCCTCGGCTTCGTCGCGAGGCTCGAGGACCTCCCACCAATAACCTGACTTGAATATGAAGATCAGACCGTGCTTGTCAGCCGACAGGACAGGGCTGGCTGCTTGGTCATCGTAATAGATGGCTTGCAGAGAAGCGAGGTCTCCGCTCTGTATTCCCTTGAGATCGTAGGTGGCGTACTCGCAGACAACCTGGGACCAGTCGAGGCGGCGGTCGTCCTTTTGGTAGGTGAGGAAGAGCTTGTCGGGACCAACTATGACCTCGGGCACCTGCGAGGTGGTATGATAGAGGCGCATTTCGCGCTGGGGGGCAAGACTGTTTCCAATAAAACGTTGCATAAGGCACTGAGGGGGTGGGGCTGTCTGGAGAATGCGGATCGTGGCTGTCCAACCCTGATAGATAGGGAAGCTGCTGGTTTCGTCGAGCAGATCCTGAACCGAGTTCAGTGGAAAGCGAGTTTCCATGGTGGGCTCACGTGGGAGCGGGGTGGCTAATTGGCATGGATCAGTTTGAGAGAGGAGAAGAAGAAGAAGAAGAAGAAGAAGAAGAAATTCAGGGGAGACGGATGCTCAAAGAGATTGGTGAGATGTACATACTGATGATCTGGTCACAAACAGTGGTGGGGAGATGCAGCGTTGCATCTGAGATTGCCTTCAGATCCACGTGGGCGGATCTTCCTCCCGGAATATACTCACGAGGCTGAGGCAGGAGAGGACGATCGCAGTGCGTTGCTTCTGGGATTGCCTTGGGATCCACGTGGGCGGATCTTGCTCCGGGAACATACTCACGAGGCTGAGGCAGGAGAAGACGGTAGCGGTTCTTACCCATGAGTGCTCGCTGACAAGATCAAGATATGAAGACAAGAAAAGATAACGGGTTGATACGATTTGTGGTAATGGTGTGTGTGTGTGTGTGTGTGAGAGAGAGAGAGAGAGAGAGAGAGAGAGAGAGAGAGAGAGAGAGAGAGAGAGAGTGAGAGAGAATGGAAATTGGAAAAAGACAAGACGAAAAGAGAAGAATGAGTCTCGTGCCCATGGTAGCAAAAGTCCATGACATGAAATTATTGTTGCGTCACAGTGTGGGATCCTGATTTCTTGGTGGGGAGGCCTGTGCCACCCTCCTTGTCTGGCCTCTACTATATTGTGCATACAGTTTGGGTTGATTTGATCCTATCACGACTCTGTCTCCTGTGTCTAATGACAACAAGTCTGGGGGGGGGGGGCGGGCCTGCACTGCGGCCATATTTGCTTTTTCTTTTTGTTGCCGTGTTTTTTCAGAGTGGGAAAATTACCGTGTTAATCAAAACGCACGGAAGAATGATAAAGGATCAGCATAGGGAGTGTGTGACAGTCTCATGTATGTCAAGATAATTTTTGTTGATGATGCATGCCGAGACAGTACAGGATGAGATAGAGAGCGGGAAGGTGTGGCGGGGAGCGGCTTCCCCCTTCCCTGGGCCGGGCTCTCAAGGAAGACAACTCTGATTGGGGGGCTTGTGTGCAATGGGATGGTGGGATGGTGGGATGGTGGGATGGTGGCTCTTAGCCGTCTCTTCATTGTGCAACCTGATAGCTAATTCATCCTTGTAGCTCGTAATCGCAAATGAAGGAAAAGCAACTTGAGAAACAGCAACCCTCGTGTGCCCGCCTCTCCTTCTCTCCTTCCTGCCCGCCTCTCCTTCCTGCCCGCCTCTCCTTCCTGCCCGCCTCTCCTTCCTGCCCGCCTCTCCTTCCAAAAGGGCTCTGGCCAGACCGACAAACTCTAGCCCAGCCGACTTGAACTCCCCCAGCCAACTTGAATCCCCCCCCCCCCCTCCTTTCCTCCCTCCCACTTGCCTAGTTCTCACTCCCCAATGAGAGAGAGAGAAAAAAAAAAAAAGTAGCTCCCCCGGATACGCGAGCCCGCGAGCCCGCACGCATCCAATTCACCAAAGTAACAAACTATCCCCACCAACAGGCCCTGTACTGTGATTAGTTGGCTCCCAAAAATGCAGAATTGCCTATTCCAATAAGCAAAAGAACAATGTTAAGACACCACGGGCTGCCCAATCCCCACATACAGAAAGAGAAAAAAAAGGGTTGGGCTGTGCTTGGGCCCGCAGTTTGGATTCAAGGCCTAGAGGCATCAAGAACCAACAGAACAGAGCCTTATTATTGGGAAGTGACGTGATGTTGATGATCAAAACAAGACCTCGCGCATTTTTCTCAGAGGTATTAATCTGGACTGGAACCCCCCTCCCTCCTTTGGAGTTCTTGGCTACGATCCGATTCCAGCGTTACACGTTGAGCTTTGACCGCGACATATCACTGGCATCTTGTCATTGAATACGGACAACAACAACAACAACAACAACAACAACACCTCCTTTCTGGGACATCCCACACCAACCATTGGAAGAGACAACTGGGACCTCGTCTCCCGGTGGTGCTGTACACGGCGTGTGTGTGTGTGTGTGTGTGTGTGTGTGTGAGCGCGCATAGGTCCACACAAAATCTTGGCTTTGGGCCATCATCTTTGCATACCCTGGGAAAACAGAAGACGCAATCCTGTCGTGCAACCCCCCTCCCCCCCCCTCCCGGCCCTCCCCGGAGAATTAGTAGAAGGGGAAAAAAACGGCATCATGTGCTACCAAACCATCTGGACCCTGCAATGTCAACATGTCCTAAAGGTCGTGTACAACTGCGCCAACGCCCCGAAGGTGATGAAAAAGGTCAAAGACCGGAAATCGGCACGAACTATCGGAGGGACGACCGGCGGCGGTGTGGCCAAAAAAAGATCCTGTTCAAACACAAAGGTAAGAGAAACCCCGGCGGCGACTCTCTAAAAAAAAAAGATGGGACAAGAAGAAGAAGAAGAAGAAGAAGAAGAAGAAGAAGAAGAAGAAGGCGAAAAGTGATTCTAAATGACCCCCCTCTGAATGACCCTTCTAAATGACCGTCCCCCCCAAATAGATACACCAGACAAAAAAAACGGGACAGGCACGTCAGAAGACGTGCGCGGACCTCACGACAAGCGTGCAGTGCTACCCAGTCCCACCCAGCCTCCAGGATGACCTGCAGGCTGCGGCCACCTCGCCTCTGTATCCTGCCTGCAGGCTCGCCAACTGTCCATTCGAGAAGCTACAACGACACTGGAACTGTTGCTGGTGTGGCAAAGGGGGAAATAAGGAGGGTCGGTGCAGCTGCATCATGATTTTCGGAGGCTTCCTGGTGCCGTGTGAACATGTCTGCTGTGAGACGTGCACCCACGCCGGCGGCTGAGGCGGGCAAGAGAGAGAGAGAGAGAGAGAGGGGGGGGGCGGGGGGTGGTTGGGTTGGCAATGAATGGGCTTTGATTGATGGGGACTGACTGGGTTGTTGCTGGGGGGCTGACCTGAGATAGATTGGCCCCTCATGGATGGGGAGAAACATACATACGGGGAGGAGGAGGGAGAAGAAGAAGAAGAGAGAGAGAGAGAGAGACATGCATACTGGACTAGTAGTACTTCAACGCCACAACGGCCGGCCAGTCAGTCAGTCAGTCAGTCAGTCAGTCAGTCAGTCAGTCCGTCCGTCCGTCCGTCCGTCCCCACTTTCAGCTCGGTGTCATTTCTGGCCCATGTCACAATCTTGTTCCACGTTTCCCCTCCTTGAAAATCGTCCTGCGTGATCGGGCAAGTGATCGATCCCAGTCCCACAACCCGCACTTGCAAGATCGGAAAGCCAAGACCGCCCGAGATCTACGTCAATCAATCAAAACGTGGCACACATTCTGAGAAACCCCTTGCGCCCCAACAAATCAGCCCTAGTAGGGAGCCCCCCCCCCTCTTTTTTCTCTGCCCACAGCAATTGCTTCTTCTATTTGCCTCCCGGCTGATCCATTCCATCCCATCCATTCCATCCACCCCACTGACTTTGCGCTTTGACCCGTTTCTCTTCTCTCCAGTTTTTTTTTTTTTTCTTCTTCTTTCCCAGCGCCCACCAAGACAATTATGGCCGCCTTTTCTGGCCAACCTTTTTTTTTTCTGGCCCGCCCCAAATAACATGTTTTTTTCAGCCCCAATGATAATCACAAAAGTTACAAGCGCACGGAGCAATTGTTGCACCCTTGTTCTGTCTTAACATTTTGGGGTGGCGCACCCTCTCAACCAGAAACTCTTCCCCCCCCCCCCGTCTTCTGCATGCATGCGCCGAGACTAATGTCTCGCCTTTTTTTTTTCTTTTTCTTCTTTCTTTTTCCTTTTCTTCGTAGTCTGGCGCTGTGCTGTTGATCACTACTCCCGCATTGTTGTCGGTTTTTTTTTTTTTTTTTTTTCCTTTCTGTTTGGGCTAACGAGTCAGCTCATGGGATCATGAGGGTATTGTTTTCTCTTTTTTTTTTTTTTTTTCTCTGCATATTCTTTTGGTGACATTGGATCCAGAGCATGGTGTTCTAGTACTCTCTGCCTTGCCTACCGCTCTCTCTCTCTCTCTCTCTACCTCCCCGGCCGAGATGGTCCCGGTTGAGTTCCCCGCTTCCCGGCCGAGATGGTCACGGCTGAGTTCCCCGCCCCCCCCCGCCCCCCTCAGTACCCCGCTTTTTTCCCTGTCCATGTCCGAAACCTCACTGCTCGCCGGTCATCATGTGCGCAGTAATAATCCCGGATTCTATCACATAAGCAATTCCTTGGGAAAAACTGCCCATCGCCTCTACTATAGTAAACAACGAGCAAACACGGGAACAAGTTGAAAATCATGTTGATCTCCCGAAATGGGCCGAGTGTCTTAGCATTAGTAAGGAAGAAGAAGAAGAAGAAGAAGAAGAAGAGCCACAAATTCAACAAGTACTTGGCGCGGGACGGGTCCCCCCCCCAGCCTTTCCCCCCCCCCCCAGGAATCCCTTGCTCTCTTTTAAGCGCTTGGGACGAACGAAGGAACGAATACCAGCGAATGATAGACCATGGAAACAACCCCCCCCCCCCCCTCATTCGATCCAACCATTTTTTTTTTCTTTTTCTTTTGATTTTGCTAGCCCGTGCATCCAGTGGCCAGGCAAGCTTTCCCTTTTTTCCCTTTATTCAAACCTGTGGCTTGAATGTACGGGATGGAAGCAAGCCACCCACGATGCATGGTGCGAGATAGTCAGCAGTAAGGCAGCAGCCGCAGAACAAAGATGAAGAAGAAAAAATCAAAAACAAGTAGATCACACTAACTAGCTGAGAAAGTTGCCCCCTTCTCTCTCTCTCTCTCTCTCTCTCTCTCTCTCTAATGCGTGGCGTACAGGTTACAGCAGATACTTGGGCGAGTTGCAGAACGAAAGAGTACGGGGACGGAATGTTGCGCGTGGAAGAGGAACTAGTAGACGAGCAAGAGAGATAGCTCCTGCAGCGGCACAGAACTTGAGCGCGGGATGGAGGAATCTGCCACGGTCTGGAATCATCCATCCCCCTCTACTAAATTTATCATCACTCGGTTACTGGTGTCATGACGAATCTCTTGTGGTGTCTTGCCATGTCTTTCCTCGTCCCCTGCCTCTCCTTCCTTTTTCTATCTGCCATCTCTCTCTCTCTCTCTCTCTCTCTCTTCCTCTCTCTCTCTTCTGACAAGACATAGCCATCCTCCTCCTCACCAAGGACGACGACGAGTATACAAAGAGAGAGAGAGATAATCCCGGAAGGACTGCACTTCCCCGAGGCCAATCTGCAAGCCCACACTCTCACCCGCAACACCTACAATGTGCCAGTACAACGAGGTGCGCTCTCATGATTTCCCCCCCCCTCCCCCCAGAGTAATGACATGGAATGGTAATGAGCTCAACTAACTATTGTACAACCCACAGATTGAGTACGGCTGCGGCCACCACCTCCTCCAGGCGGCCTTCTGGTGCGCTCTATACGTTCGAAGGGGCGCATGTAGCGAGAGAAGAATTATACACTATCAGTACATGGGCTGGCAGGTGTGCAGTATGTCATTCATCGCCATCAATTCCATAACATACATACTACTCTCTCTCTCTTTTTTTTTTTGTTGCGTAACACTGACTGAGAAAACATCACAGCCCGCTGCCGTCCTGACAGGCAGTTTGTGGCGTGGGAGCACATGATCCGCCGTCCTGACTCTGGCCCCAGGGCTTGATGACAACAGCAACCTTGGCTGGGATGGGATGGGATGGGATTCTGCATATGATTCTTGAGTAGCAATATTTTAGCGTCAAATTGAATCAGATTGAACGACCTGCAACTTTTTTTCTTCTTTCCCACCGGGTATGCGTGAGATAAATGGCCCGCCGCTCTTTTGTTAAGCTGGGGGCCTTTATTGTCATGCACGAAGTTGGTGACACCCCCAAGTCAGCTTCCGACCGCGCACCAGACTCTGGGAGAGACCGGGGGTCAACTTGATGTATAGCGAGCGAAAAGAAAAGGGAGGCCAGGGGGGGGGGGGCGGTCCAGAGTTACAACGTACCAAGCTGCGCCAAGTAGGTGCTGTGCAAAAGCCCTTGGTGGGCCGGCTGCTACAAATGCGCCCCCCCCCCAACCCCCCGCTGTCCGCCCGTCTCACCAAACCTGTCCCGCGGCCTCCATTATGAACAAGCTGGACGGCAAGAGTGATGCCTCTATTTCCCCGGAGAACATGGGGCTCGGTGAGTCCATACGGGTGATGAGCATCGCCACCCCCCTCCTTTCGCAGCGGGAGAAGCATGCAAGTGAGACGAGCCCCCCTTTCGGCCCCGGAGCCCTCCTGCTGCTTTCCTCGGCCGAGGTCCAAAGATCCTTATGCCAGGGGCAGCAGCGTCCATGGACCTGTCCTCCTGTGATTAGACGGGGGAGAGAGAGAGAGTGTGGGGGGGGGGGGGGTAGAGGCTCAATGGGCCGGATCGCCTCGCCCCGCTGCTCCGGTGTGGTTGGGGGGAAGAAAAAAAGGTCATTATCATGGCTAGGACAAGGGCCGCAAAGAGGGGGGGGGGGGGGGGCGCGATTGGGTTGGTCCCTCTGCTTGCGGTGGGAGAGAGAGAGAGAGAGTGGCAAGTGGGCGATGGTGGAATCAGAGCCCCCGGAAGACGCAGAGGCCTGGAACAGCTGCTGCTGCTGTCTGGTGATGGAGTCAGCTGGCCTGGAATGCAGACTGAGACTGGGCCTGGAAAATGGGCGGCACCAATAGTGAAGGGGGTGGTTGGTGGTGGTCTTGGGTTCCGGGGCCGAGATTGCTGATGGACTGGTATGGGAGACGTACCAGTCTGAAGCTTGCAAGCGCCGACCTGGTCTGGAAGAGGCCTGCCGATAGCCATGCAGCCTCCAAAACTCGAAACCCGAGTGCGGGTGGGTGGCGTCGACTCGTACGATTGCATTCCACCGCGTCAGCCACGCAGCGCCATACTTGTTGTGTCCCGCCGCTGCTGCTCCACAGACTCGCCCGGGGCCTCTCCATCCTCGTCGTCGTCGTCATCGTCGTCGTCGTCGTCGCTCCTGTCTTCCCGGGCTGGCTTGGCCGCTCCAGGTGGCGGGGCCCTGGCGGCATCTGGCTCAGCGCCCACTGAACCCGCCGAGACTGGCGGGAGTCGACTACCTTTGGCATCGCGATCTGCCTTTTGTCTGTCGCATCATGAAGCGCCGGATGGCCGCATCCCGCGGTGAGCCTTCCTGGCGGTCGTGGACGCCTGTCGGGGGTCGGGGGTGGGGGGGGAAGCGTTGCCAGCACAATCCTCCTCCGTCTCGCCGCCTCTCCGCAGCCCGGATCCCAGGAGCGCCTCTCAGCAAGCAGCCCGGATCTCAGGAGCGCCTCCCAGGCCGCGTCGTGCGGATGGATGGCTGGTGACCGCCGGACGATGCTGGTTTATTCCGCGTCCAGCCGCCAGCATTCGAACTCGAGGAACTCGATCCACGGTCGCCCGCCCGCCCGCCCGCCTTGCCGCCGCGGGTCCTTCAGCAAGCCCGAAGGCCTCGTGGAAGCCGTTGCTCAGCCAGGCGGGCGCCGTGCACCGTGCAGCCCTCACATAGTTCTGTAAACCTTCCGGGCCGGCCGGTCGCTTTCTTCCAGCTGCCACAACATCTTCCGGATGGTCTCCGTCCAAGTCCGGTGTCGTCGTCGTTATCGCCCCCGAGAGCCCGGCAGAATCAAAATAGCGCCGCTTCTTCTCCCGGAAAGCCGCCAGGCTCTCGTCCGCCGTGTCGGTGTGGGTGCCGGCGCTGCCCCCCCGGAGGTCGCGCTGTCATCTCCGGAACTCCTTCCAACGCGCCAGGGGGGCACGAAAAGACGCCCAGGTTCATCCGGGCTCTGGTATATACTGTCCGGGGTTTCCAGCGAGC